GGCAGGGGAGGGGGAGTTCTGATGCTGATTGTGACTAGCTTTAGACCATGGTGGGAGGGAGGCCCGATAAATCCTCAGCCTTGTCTGACACTCAGACCCCCACTCTTGCCTCATTCGGAAGGCTTTCAGGGCTCTCTGTGTGTGTGCTCTCTGGATTAGGTTCTGCCTCGGGAGTAGAGGGAGAAGCAGAGAGATGTGTGGGCGGTGCAGAGGAGGGAGAGAGGGAGGGAGGGAGGGATGGTAGGGCTTCCCCTAGTTCTGCAGATGGCTTTTCCATATGATAGAGCCATTCATCCGTCACAACCCCAGCAGGCATCCATGTCGTATTGCCATCTCTTCAATGTTCTTCTTAATAAAATAAGACAAAGGCAGAGATTTGCATTTTTTCTGTTTGCATGACCTTTCCTTTCGCAGATTTCTCCATCTCACATCCATTCTTTTATGACCATCCACACCGTCCATTTGCCCACCCCACAACCATCTACTTAAGCCCGAGAACGTAGAGCATTTCAGGTCCCATGTTTGATATTCCCAATCTGTGCAGATTCCCGTTCTGTGCAATCTGATCTCGTCTCTCTGTTCAGGTAGACGTTGAAGATCCAATGGCACTATTTGAAAAGAGAAGGGAGTTTCTCTCTCTCTCTGTCGCTCGGTGTCCAATCCCCCACATACATTACTTTCATGGCTGTTTGTGGGACATTGCTGTGCGCAACTGTTTGCCTACAAATATAGTCACTCCATTTCACGTTAAAAATTGTATGAAGCGCTTTGAGATATCCTTCCGACCTGATAAGGCGCTATACCAAATGCAAGGGTTATTATTATTTTCTCATCCAGATTTGACTTAGTGTCCCTTGGCTAGAAAACGGGGTGGTGGTGGTGGGAGCTGTGTGGGGGGGGGTTGTGGGCTGGAAGGGAAATTTACCCAGAATTTCTGATCATGATTGCTATCCACCGCCCCTACTGGAATGATGTGCGTATGTGCATATTGTATTGGGTGAAGACAGGATGTGAAACCAAATCATTTCATCAACAACTCTCATTTACATAACTCCCTTCAAGGTATGGTAATGTCTTGGAGGGTTTCACCGAGAAGGGGTGGGCCGTAGAACAAGGGGTGTGGGAGTGTTTGTGGAAGGTGAACAAAAGCGAGGTCAAGGTGGTAGTTTCTCACTGCAGTTAGAGAGGGGAGAGCTAGAGGGTTCCAGAGGTTAGGTTCCTGTGGTTTTACGCATGCTTCATGGCCTCAGGCAGTTGCCGCATGGACAGAGACTGTCAGTCAATTTGTGTTCGATTTGCAGCTTATCTCCACAATGCCAGAGCCCGACACTGCTGAGTCCATGCAGCCCTTGCAGCCCGAATAGCCCCCTCACAACGCTACATCCATGGAGGTAAGGCAGGGCATCCGTGGGGTTAGGGGAACGGCAGAGGACAGACAGTAGCAGTGCCAGCCTGGCTCAGTCGGTTGCACTCTTGCCTCCTAGTCAGAAGGTTGTCGGTTCAAGCTACGTTGGGGATTTTGAGCTCACAGCCGCGGCTAGCGCTCCAATAAAGTGTTGGGGGAGCGCTCGTATTGTAAGCGGCGCCGTTCTTCAGATGAGATGTTAAACTGAGGTCCCATCTTTCTCCCTCCGCCTGTTCAGATGGACGGTAAAGCTCCCATTTGGTAAGAGAAGAGAGTTTGTCCTGGTGACCTGACCAACAATACCCAGATAAATCCATTATTTCACCCAGTGGCTGTGTGTGTGTGATATTGCTGTGCTCAACGTGGCAAAACAAAGGCAAAATGGTCTTGCGGGCTAAGACTGGGTGGAATTTGGGGGCTTCTGGAGTTTTATTATCCATTAGCAATACAACAACTTGCATTTAAATAGTGTCCTTCATGCGGGGCAGCATCTCGGAGCGCTAACACACAGAGGGCTGTGAATCTGCCTGTGTGTGTCACTGTGTCTGCATGTGTGAACAAGTCATTACATCATGGAAAGGTCTATCTGTGGCATTGACCTGCCTGAAGCAATCGCTGTCCTTGGGATCTGGCGCTTGCTTTGTGTAGACTGAAACTTCGGTTGATTAATGCAGTGAGGAGGGACACACACACACACACACACACACACATACGGGGAAGCTTCACTTTTGGTCTGGGCTTCCTGCGATCGCTGCTTACTGCAGCCCGTCCTTTTGAGATGTCCCTGTGTGTCGGACTGGTTACTGGGACGGGAGCTAATGCCAGACACGAGGGGATGGATTTGGACGTTTACTGTAAAGCGTTGAGAGGAGAACTGGAGCTGCCGCTGAAGCTCAACACTAACAGGTGCAGTGGAGCTTGTTAGGGAAAGTCTTGGCCTGTGGTACAGGACCGACATCTGTAGGTGGGATGTGCACCAATGCTGCAAACAGCAGCTGCACAGGTGTCAGTGTTGTATTGCAAAGTGCGTTGATGACAGCAATGCATTTGACGAGCTGCATGGGGGTCAATGTTCCATACAACCGGTCACACACATTGCACTGATGTGTATCAGTGACATAGGCTGTACGTGCCGGAGAGTTGCATGGGAGCAGGCTGCACGGGTGCCAGCGTTGCACGCATCAGGCCCAGGAGGTAAGAGTCAAGATGGGCGAAAGAGAGACACAGTGATCTGAAGCTAGAGCGTGAGACGTGAGAGTTTAGCGAATGAGTCAGGAATTAGAGAATGAGAGCGTGAGAGCGAAAGGGGGTTGAGAGAGAGGACTAGAGAGCGGGGTGGGGGGTTGGGTGAGGGTGAGAAGGAGAGAATGGATGGGGTGAAGGAGAGAACAGATCGATGACATTGCTCAGTGGAACATGTCCCGTTTGGCTTCCTATGGGGGGGGTAGGAATTGAATGGAAACTCTGGACCTGTGCCAGGGCCCGGTTTAATGCATTGATGGTCTAACGCGAACGGAATTTGTGCCTCTTTTTTAACGTCGATTCTCTCTCTCTCTCTCTCTCCCAATCCCCAAGTGGAAAATCCATCTGCTGTTGTTTCAGGGAAGATTGACTCCCTCTCTCCACCCACACCCCTGAAGACATCTGCCTCCTTTTTCCTCCTCCCGCTTCCTTCACAGCCGACTGACTCAATATTTCTGTGCGAATCACCCTGTAAACACGGGGTCTTCCTCGCCTTAAGTACTGTGTTAGCCCTACGTTATCGGATGCGGCAACAGCAGCCCTCCCCCCCCTCCTACCGTTTCCCCTCCCCTTCCCTACGTGGTTCCTGGCTTCAGGGAAAGACATTCAATCGGAAATGAATGTCATAATTAGTAGCTTGTGACACATCGATTATTATAGTCAGGTCGGTCCACGGCAACCACCATAGCATGAGGCTGCTGCGTAGTAAACAGAGAGAGAGAGAGCTCAGAGAGTGAGTCAGGAGTAAAGGGAATGAGAGCGTGAGATTGAAAGGCAGGAGAGAGAGGACTAGCGAGTGCGGGGGGTGGTCGGGGTGGGGGTGGGGGTGAGAATGAGAGAGTAAGAGGTCTAGAATGGAGGGGCGAAGGAGAGACCGGATCGATGACATTGCTCAGTGGGACGGGTCCTGTTTGAGGGTCCGACGGTCCGGTCCGGTCCGGGGTCGATCCATTTCATCGCCCACGAAATACACAGTCACTCCACTTCACGGTGTAATCTGTGAAGCACTTTGAGACCCCCCCCCCCACCTCCAGCCTGTAACACCCTCCAGCCTGTCCACCCCCCACAGCCTGTCCCCCCCCCCCCCACAGCCTGTCCCCCCCCCCCCCACAGCCTGTCCACCCCCCCACAGCCTGTCCCCCCCCACAGCCTGTCCCCCCCCCCACAGCCTGTCCCCCCCCCCCCAGCCTGTCCCCCCCCAGCCTGTCCCCCCCCCCCTCCACAGCCTGTCCCCCCCACAGCCTGTCCCCCCCCCCACAGCCTGTCCCCCCCCACAGCCTGTCCCCCCCCCACAGCCTGTTCCCCCCCCACAGCCTGTCCCCCCCCCCCCAGCCTGTCCCCCCCCCCAGCCTGTCCCCCCCCCCCCCCCCAGCCTGTCCACCCCCCACAGCCTGTCCCCCCCCCACAGCCTGTCCCCCCCCCCCACAGCCTGTCCCCCCCCCCTCAGCCTGTCCCCCCCCCCACAGCCTGTCCCCCCCCCCACAGCCTGTCCCCCCCCCCCTCAGCCTGTCCCCCCCCCCCACAGCCTGTCCCCCCCCCACAGCCTGTCCCCCCCCCCCCCTCAGCCTGTCCCCCCCCACAGCCTCACCCACAGCCTGTCCCCCCCCCCTCAGCCTGTCCCCCCCCACAGCCTCACCCACAGCCACACACACACACACACATACGCACAGACTGTCAGTGACAGACGGAGGTGATTGACGGGGAAGTTCCATTCCCCCGGAGGCGCGCGGGGTGAGGTCCGCACACCGGGCGCTCCCCACCCCTCAGCCCCGGGGCCTCAACCCGCGCGGAGAGCCCACGGGCACAGGAGCCGTCGCCCTGTGGTGTGTGGAGGGGGGGGAGAGAGCCGCGGAGTGGAGGGAGGGCGCGGGATGAGAGCCCGAACCACACGGGTTCCCCCCCCCCTTCAGAGTGGTAGGTCCCAACTGCCACTCACTGAGTGACCCCCCGCGAGCTCCCGCCTCTCGCGCCAGAGCCGCTGCCGGTCGTGGCGGCGGTTGACGATGGGCGGGAGTCTGCGGCCCGGAGAGGAGCGACAGCGGGCGAGGGCCGCCGGGGGCAGGCCTGGGGCCTGGGTACTTTGAGAGAGAGAGAGCGAGAGTGAGACGGAGAGTCCCTCCTCCTCCGCCCCGGACTGTGCGCGTGCGGTGAGGGGAGCGCTCGGCCTTTGTTGCTCTGAGGGGAGACGGACCCACCACCAACATGGAGGAGGCACCACCGTCGGGCGCTCAAACGGCCCCGCGCGGCCCTTGAGTCGCCCCCATCACCGGACAGCGCGAACTTTCTGGAACTTTCTCTGCAGCCTCTTGAGACTGACTGACTGACTTCCCCCCCACCCCCCACCCCTACCCCCCGAGCATCATGTCCGACCCCATCTACTGGGCGGCCGTCCCCGGCTACAAGAGTCACCTGGCGGCCGGCGCCTTGCTGCACCGCTCAAAGAGGTAAACGTACGGCCCCCGGGCCTGATCCGGCCCTTCAGCCTGTACCGGGGACGGGGAGGGGGGGTGGGGTGGGGTGCAGGCACCTGTTCACGCAGTGCGGTGCCCTTGTGTCGAAGGGGTTTTGAGGGGTGTTATTGGGATCTGTGGATGGGTTGGGGGTCTTATTGGGGATTGGCGGATCGCCGTCCGGGGGTAATAGAATAGTAATACTAATTTGGTCACTTTGGTCCACCACTGTTTGCGGGGGACGTCGCTGGGCGCTATTGGCTGCCGCCTTCTCCCCGCTCCCCTCCCCCCCCCACAAAACACACAGTCACTACACTTTACAGTGTATCCAGTCGAGCGCTTTGAGACGTCTCGAAGACGTGATAAGTCGCTGTGTCAAATGCGAGTATTATTGTTTGGGGGTTGGATGGAGGTGTTGGGGTTTTGGGTGAGTTCGAGGTATTATTTGGGTTTGAGGGATGGAGATATTGGTATTGGGGGAAATGGGTCAGTGGTCCTTATGAGTGTTTGCGAGTCTTGTTGGGGTGGAATATTTTGGCTTCAAAGCTGGGGGTGTAGCCGTGGGCAAGTAAATGAGCTGTTTACGTGAACATGAGTTGCCCTTTAATCATTCAGTAGGAGGCAATTCCTGTCTGAGCAAACCTGTGTTTACAAACCGCTTTCCAGACTGGGGCTCTTTCCACTTCCTGCATCGTACTGACCAAAGTTTAGTTGATGCTGTTCTTCTCTGACTAAGTGCTGGGCCTACGTACAGATTGACGTGTGAAGTCATGAAGTTATTTCAATCCCTTTCGCTCATTCTCTTGCCCATTTTTCTTCCCTCTCCTGGAAGTGTTTGACTCCCTTTTTTTCCTCCCACCCGCAAGACCCCCTGGGCACCCTCCAGTACCCCGTCCAAGTGGCCAATATGCGAACATTGACATTGGGCTCTGTCACCTGCTGATCAATGCCATTCACTACTTCATCTGAACCCCGCTGTGTTTACTTTTTAAAGTAGGGAGAAAAGTCAGGGCAGGGCGATCACAATCGCACTTGATCATATCCTCATCCCCGACGTTCAGGAGCGTACCCGAAACCTCGCAAACTTCCGAGGCTAACCGCAGGAATCCTTTTTATTAAAAAAAATAAGAGCAGGAGAAAGAAAATCGTTGGCAGGATGCAGATCCGTGAGGATTGGGTAAATCTGCATCAAAAGCCATGACCGTACTTCAGCTCCCGCTGAGAAGAATTAGTTTAGGTGAGGGACTGAAGCAATCAGTCACTGACTAGTTGTAAATCTGGAAAAACTAGGGACAATTTGACTCCAGTTGGCAACGAGTTCCAATGGCTGGTAGCAGAGAAGCCAGAGGTTAATTTGCTCTAAATTCACACTTTGGGGAAAGTGCAACTAAACCTGGTGTTTGGAATTAACAATTAACTTTAGTAAAAATTAATAGAAGTTTGAGAACTCATCGTCTCTCACTGTGGACGTTTACTGACCTCACCGAAGAGATCCAGCGATGGTAAATGCAAAATGTTCTCCCAGGCCAATTTTGAGTCTCTGATCATTATCATTAAAGTGAGCATGTGTGTATGTATGAGATGGATTTAGGTAGATAGCAACAACTTGCATTTGTATAGCACCCTAAATGCGGGCTAGCATCCCGGAGCGCTTGACAATGGCGGAGTTTGGCACCGGGGAAGAGGAAGGAGGGAGGTGACCGTAAGCACGATCAAAGGGCAACATCTATAGGCAGGATTTGAAAGCGGGTGGGGGGAGGGAAGGAGGGGGCAAGGCGGAGGGATTGAGGGAGTGAGTTCCAGAGTAAAAGTGCAGGGGAGCGGGACTGAATAGATAGAGACAGAAGCCCACGGGCATGACAGATCAAATTAACTCCTCCTATGTTGTATTATTTACTCTTCCAAATGTCTGAGTAATCCTTTCTGTGGGTTAAAGTAAAAGCTGCCAAACTGTGTGCTGTGGGTGGGGAAACTCCATTTTAATACTGGTGTGGGTGTGCCTCCATTGTGGGCAGACGGCGTGTGGGAAACTAGCTTACTGTATCATGTTGGTGCTGGTTTGCGGTTGTTCCTTCATAGAGGTGTATATGATGCCAAACAGAGTAGAGAAAGTAAATAAATAAACCCTACGTTTGATAGAGCGCCTTTCAGATCGTAAAGCTGTCTCAATGAGCTTCACAGGATTTTACTGTAGACAAACAAAACTTTGATGTTCCAAGGCAGCAGGACAAGAAGGCACGATAAGGGCAATAAAAAGGGCAATTTCAGGACTGACCCTGGAAAATACTTTTTTTACACAAAGGAGAATTAATTAGTACAATAATACAGAAAGCATGGTTGAAGCAGGAAGTGGCTAAGTGACTTAACCAGGAGACGGTCAGAAAATGTTTGAGTGCTAGAGGCTTCCCCAGAGAATTAGTTAACTTCCTTTTATGTTGACTTCCATTCCAAACGAGGGAAAGGGAGCAGGGAATAATATCTGCATCGAAAACTCTGTTGTCAGAACCTAAGCGAGTGAGTGTAAAGTGTGTGATTCAGTGACTGCCCTAAATAGGGCAGTTACTGAATCACACACTTACAGTTTGTGGTGGTATTTGTGTAACAGCTTCTTGCTCAACAAACACTGAGCCATACCCAGAAACGGTGTAAACATAAGTCTTGTATAGTGTTAACCGTGTGCTGTGGCTTGGGGACGGGACAATCCCTGCTCCTGAACTTGCATTGATGCATCTTGATGCTGAACAAAGTTCTTCCCCCTCTCTACCTGCACTTTACCACCATAAACCAACTTCATCCTGTTTACTGGCCACGCTGTCATGGTGCTGCGTGCAGCTGTCACGAACACAGGAAGTGACAGAGAAACCACGGCAGTGAGACTTGACTGCTCAGGGAGAGTCAAAAGTAGGGACCAAGCTAGCAGCCATCTCTCATGTCTGTGCTTGACTCCTAGTTATGGTCAGGATGGGTTCTTGGCTGTGACATGCTGTCACACTGTGGCGGACTTGTTCTGTACCTGGAGTCTGGCTATGTTGTGCTGTGCCAAAACTGAGCTGAGTTTTGTTGTCTTGTTTTACAGCTGCCGCAGTAGTAACCGGAAAAGCTTGATCGTCAGCACCCCATCTCCAACGCTATCCCGGCCGCTCTCTCCTCTCTCTGTGCCAACAGGTAATCAAAACGTTCGGATCCTTTAAAATTAATTCTCCATTTGATGTCTGGATGTGTAGGATTTGCTTGTGGTGAGTGGACAAAATAGCACAATGGGGGGACTAATTGTAATATTCCCCAACTGCCTTGTTGTATTTATTGTGACTTCCATGACCTGATGAGATCCAAGCTCCCCACAAAAATGGCTGTGTTATCTACTATCCCTTCAAACAGCTGTACAAAAGGAGTTGCTGCATGTTACAGTAATTCCTCCTGAAGCTCTTTGAGACGTGAAATGCGAGATCTTTAAATAAGGATCCCTCTATTTCGTTCAGCTCCTATACTGTCAAAATATCTCACAGTGCTTCTCAGTGAATTGGTGCGAAATGTAGTGACTGCATTTTTCTCTCTTAAAATGGCCTCTGACATATGTTGGTGATCTCTCAACCTTGCAGAGCAGCTCCAAGCCAAAGGCTGCTTGTTGGCATGAACTTTTATTTCACAATGAGAGGATTTTACTTTAATCGTTGTGGACAGCATCAGCATTTGGGAGGTATTACTGGGAGTTCAGCCTAGTAATCTACTATAATCTCTACATTAAATGGCTTTAAACACAGTTGGAGAGTTTTATTTCTCCTGCATTTAATGGGTTCAGCATTATGAGTTAGAAACATTCTGTATATACTCCTCCACAGATTCACAATACTCAATTAGATTCCAACCTATACAACAACAACTTGCATTTACCGAGCACCCTTTATATAGGATAACTCTGTAACTAGCTCCTGTCTCGCACAACCCCATAAATGGTCACCTGTCCTAACACCCTGTGTAAAGAAATACCTCTTAATATGCGTGTTCAACTTGGACTCCGTAGCCGTCAACCTGGGTCCGATTGTCACGTTGCCTTGATGAAGGGGATCAATTGGCTGTATCTAACCTTGTCCTTCCCTTCCTTGTGTCTCCATATTGTTATTCCTCGGTAGTAAAAGTCCCTTACCCGTTCTTTAAGTGTGTCCTGGGAAGCAGTTGCGCTTTACTCTGCTCTTCTCTGCCCGGCCCGGTCTGTGCTTTGTTTTGTTCACCCTGGAATCTGCCTGGAATGTTGATTGCTGAAGTGTTCTCTGAAAACAAGGACGGAATGACCGCCTGACAGAGCAGAGTGCGTTCCCTGGGATGCCTCAACATTGACCTCCATTGCTGAGTGACAGCCTGACTGGGAGCACTGGTGTCACTTTCACTTGCAGTTCAGAAAGATATTGGTTCAAGCCCCTCTCTGGGACTTGGAGCTCACAGGCTGGGGTGACACTCCAGTGCGGTACCGGGGAGGAGTGATGCATTCATTGCAGGAGGTGCTGTTTCTCAGATCAGATTTTAAAAGCTCTCACGTGTCTGGACTGTTCAAGTGGATCTACATAATCAGAAATCACAATTCAGAAAAAAAGGACGTTTTTTTTTCCTTGTCCTGGCCGATGAACCTCTAGGTACATTTGTCATTTGTCTCGAGGCTGTTTTTGGGAAACATATTGTGCTTACACATTTACCTCCAAATGCACAGTCGCTACACTTGACAACAATTTCCTGTCTCCCAGCAGCACAATATCATCCGCCAACAGAAGCGCCAACACAATAATAATACTTGCAATCTTGTCAGAGAGGCCTCGAATAGATACACCGAGTGGAAGGATGTGTCCCACCAGAGAGAGCGTTTGCATTCTATTCCAACAATCTATCTGGGATTTCCATGTGGATGCATGGAAATCCCATCTTGGTTTGGAGACCCTTAAACATGGGTTTCCCCGTGTGTCAGACACCCGGCTGACCAAAAAAAAAAGCAATTTCCTCTGAAGCGCTTTGAGACATTTGAACGTAATAATAGATAAGCTGTCGAATGCAAGCAGTTTCTTTCACAACCTCTGATGCCCTGCCAGGTCCACTCAGGGATTAGATGATGGAATCTAAGTAATTGTGGTTGCACACAAGGTCAATGGTTGGCAAGTAGGAATCATCACGTTGATTCCGCCACATTGTTGAACAGAGCTGGCCAGACCTCGGTTACAGATTATGCACAGCAGCCCTAAGAATAATTGGCTCCCGCAAAGGCTAAGCCACATTATCCAGCGAATTAGCTGGGTCAGAGAGGAAAGTACTCTGTGTGTTCCTAGGTCTGTGTTGACACAACTGCTGTGAAGTTGTTTAGGAGTGAAATATCCTGCACTCTGATACTTTTGATCAAGTAAGCAGTCCACAATTGCTGTCTCAATAGTGGTCACTTGGACGAGGAACCGACAGGCAACGGACCTTGTGGCCTTGCAAATAAAGAGACAAACTTTCTTCTTTAGATGGTTTTGCTCTGCACGTAACCTGTGCTGTACCTGACCTGGGAGTGCAAAATGGGACAGTGTAGAGGAAGATTTACTCTGTATAAAAATCTGTTCTGCAGTTGATGTGGGAGTGAATGTTCCATGAGTCAGTGTGGATGTAATCATTCTGGATGTATCTTACCTAACATTAACAGTGTTTGATAGTGATCTGTAACCTCTATATTAAAGGAGAACTATTGAATTAGTTCATTAATTTTTAGCTGTCCCATCTCTCAGCCTCATTACCCCCTCCGCCCAACCCATTATAGCTCTAGGAATTGTACAAGTTGTGCATTAAGCAAAGCTAATGACATGTGTAGGTCTAAATTCTTTATAAACTGACTTTTTCTTTGTTACAGCTGGAAGCAGCCCCCTGGACAGTCCCAGGAATTTCGCCACCAGCGCCTTACTCAACTTTCCCTTTGCTCGCAGGTAAAGCTGCTTCCTCCAATAATGACACTTGCATTTGATGCAGCACGTTATCTCTCTGAATTGTCTCGAAATGCTTCACATAAGAACACAAGAATTTGCTGGCGAAAGAAGGTCCATCTAGTTTGCCTTCCACCATCCTGGCAGTCGCTTGACATGTCGTGTCCCAAACTATATACTATATCCCGAGATATTATTTTCTAGCAGAAATCTATCTAATTTGTTCTTGAAACAAACAACACTTTCTGCTTCCACCGTCTCCCTAGGGAGCCTGTTCCATAAGTTGACTACTTGCTCACTGAAGTAGTGTATGCAGTAGTTACTTTGAAATGTAGTGACTGTTGTTGCCGAGGTAAATAAAGTCACTCAAAGCATTGAGAGGAGCAAGCAATTTTCATAAACTAACATTACCACAGAGTAATGAACACACTAGTCTTTCATCTCCGCTACTGATCATTCTTCACAGCATCTTTGAGACTGAAGACCTACAATGGTTAACCTCACAGCAACAAATCACTGAGGACCTAAAATGAAGACATTAAACTGTGATTTACTTAGCGCTTCCTGTACACTTTGTCAGAGCAGTCAATGATTGCAATTATCTATGTGGGATGCTGACTGAGAACAGAGAGGATGCTTCCCTGCACTGGGATTGTGTGGGCAGCAAGACAGAGCGAGCTTCTCTCAACATGTAATGTGTCTTGTCTCCTTTTTAACGGTTGACCTACACAGTCATGTGTCGCGGGATGATAGGTAAATCTTTTCACTGGCTGCCCAGTACCACGATCAATACTACAGAGCTGCAGGGAAAACAATTCCGTGTTTCATTACTGATTGGATGCGATAATTATCTATACACAGATTTTTCATCCCTGTGTGTGTGTGTGTGTGTGTATATGTGGGGAGGCGGTGGGAAGTGCACTTCAGTGAACAGTTCATGTGAGTTTCTATGGGAACCTCATTGATGCCAGAGTATAGTCTGGGTAACCGTGAGAAACTGACTCCCACTGGGCACTGTACAGCCCACATGTACCACAGTGCCTGCTCCTGTCTGTCTGCCTCAGTGCCCGCTCCTATAGTGTGCTGTAGCAAACGTGAGGACGCACGACTGCTGCTTGTGTCACAACTGTCAAATGCATTCAAGCTTTCCTTTGTCTCTTTGTGTGATTTGAGAGTCTGTCTAAAAGGCAAACAGCTGAACATTGCATCTGTGCCATTCTAGCTAGGCCTAGTTATGTTTGGTTCGGGTATAGAATCACTCCTCTTCTAACCTTGGCAGTCTGTCTTGCTTGTAGTAACCTTTTTCCCCTCTCTCTGTATATTTCCAGGGCTGACGGACGCAGGTGGTCCCTGGCCTCACTCCCATCATCGGGCTATGGCACCAACACTCCCAGCTCCACTGTGTCGGTGAGTCAGGTTCATCAGTAAAAGGAACTGAGCTAAACCTCCTCTCTCTCTTTCACAAGTTGCTTTCCCTCAAGGACTCTTAGTTCTTGTCAAAGTTTAAGGATTTTCCAGCATTGGCATTAAGATTAATCCAGTATGAGTAGGGATATAGGAACGCTTGTGTTTATTTGGCTGGATGACTCACAGTTGTGGTGAACACATTCAGTTCTCTATTTTATGGAACCAAGTTAAAATGGGTTCTGATTAAGGGTAGTGCCAAAGGCTTGCTGAAAGGTCCCTGGCACCACCATCCTGGCAAACTCCAGTTGAGTTAAGGCGCGTTTCCGAGAGAAAGCCAGGCACTTTTTCCGCACTCACAAATGGAGCTGGAGGACTCTCCGAAATCTTCGGGCCTGAATGGCTCAAAGGTTTTTTGTTTTGTTTTTCTCTTTGGTTCTCTTTAAAACTGTGGAAAGCCAGCTTCTAAATTTAAGGATTTCAAAAAAATATTTCCTGGGTTTTTCAGACCACAGTCCAGAGGCCAAGGCTGTGATGAATTTGGGGCCTCTGGAGCCTTGAAGAATCGTTACATCGTCAGCAGCCTCTTCGATAAATACAATACAAAATTGCATTTGTATAGCGCCTTTCACAAGGCACTGGACAGTCAGGGATTTGGACCTAAGCGGGTGGGGGTTTGGGATAAGGGAGGGTGGTTGAAGAGGAGGCTCTTGAGATGTGCTGTGATAAAACCGTGTGAGCATTTGATTGGGAGGTGGTCTCATTAACAATGGCCTCAGGAAAAGTCTTCAGCCTGTCAACAGCTGCCAGGTCAGCAGGTGCTGCAGAATTATCCGACCCACATCAGACATAAAAATGGTGACTTAATGTCAAATTGGGGCATGAGTAATAATAAAGTTAAAACATTGAATTTCACTCACTGTTCCCTCATTTCTCCCTTCAACTCCTGATTGTTTTCTTCTCTTTGCTCTCTTTCGTTCTCTTCTACCCCTCCAACCCCTCCATTATTTTTTCATTGAACCCTTCCTCCTCCTTTCCTCTCTCTCCCCCACCCTCGTTGTCCAAATCTCATTTTTTTTTCCAAACTATAATTTATTTCTCTTCCTCTCAAATCCACAGGAAGAGACAATGATTTTTCCCCTCTTTTTCCAGTCCTCCTCCTCCTCACAGGAAAAGCTGCACCAGCTACCCTACCAACCCACCCCAGATGAGCTTCGCTTCTTGTCCAAGCATTTCCGCAGCACAGAGAGCATCGCTGATGAGGAGGGAAGATGCTCTCCCTCCATGAGGCCACGATCCAGGAGCCTCAGGTACAATACACAGTCGGTGGGGTGGGGGGGGGTAGAATGATGGACGGACAGATCATCAATAAAAGTAGCTAGTATTTATACAGCTGCATTCATATAAAAGAATAGGTTAACCGAGAGAGAGAGACTCAACGGGTGAAGGGGTGTGCTGCTAATTTTCGGGGTGGTGGGGGGGGTAAATGGCTCTTTATTCCTACTCTGTCACTCGGCCCTTTATCTGTGGTCTTTGTAAGATTAAGAAGCTTTCGTTTTTATGTGGCGTCTGATCACATCCAGATTATTCAGCCTCGCGGTAGCTTGTGGGAGCTCGCTGGCACAATTTGCATCCCGCGAAGACGTTGGCTTCGCTTGATGGTAACGTGAGATGCTTCCGCGTGATAAGTGCAAGCTCTTTCTTTATTTTCTCTCTCTCTAATCCCACTACCGGAGGTGGGACGTTGCTGTATTGAAAGCTTCCTACCGCTGTACAAATTACTCCTGAATCCCTTGCCAGTCACCCGTCTTGTGTGTGGATCCTCCTTTCCAACATTCCTTGTCCGTAAAGTTCAGTTCAGGTGGTTTAGTTGCTCCTGCCAACGCTCCCCCCTCTATCCCGCTCTATCACTGACCTACACCATACTGTATCTCCCCCTGGTCCCGCTAATCTTTGCTCGTTTTCCCCCTCTTGCAGCCCGGGTCGGACTTCGGCTTCCTTCGACAATGAGATTGTGATGATGAACCATGTTTACAAAGAGCGCTTTCCCAAGGTGAGACAATGAGCCTAGATACAAGGATTTTTAGGTGTCCGCTTGGCTCAGTTAGTAGCACTCCCATGGACCTCCGTTCCTGCTGTAGCACAATCCCAACCATGCACTGTGTACATTACACCATCACTTTAAATGTCTGATCAGTTATTTTTTGACTGCCGAAATAAATTGGTTGATTTAAAGGAGCACTTTTCTGATCTTGACCCTCCTGCTCACAAGGCATTGATTTTTACCGGTCACATTTTCAGGCCACAGCTCAGATGGAGGAGCGGCTGCAGGAGATCATCACCAGCTATTCTCCCGACTACACGCTTCCCCTGGCAGACGGGGTCCTGGGCTTCATCCATCATCAGATCATTGAGCTGGCCCGAGACTGCCTGGACAAGTCCCTCGGGGCGCTCATCACCTCCCGCTACTTTCTGGAGTTGCAGGAAAAACTGGACAAGATGCTGCAGGATGTGAGTTGCTGTTTGTATTCCTCTTACCCTCTCCCTCCCTCCCTCCCTCCCTCCCTCCCAGGGGAAACCAGAAGGCCGTTTGGCCCACAAAACACACAGTCACTACACTTTACAGTGTTATCTTATGAAGAGCTTTCTCGACGACGTGATAAAGCTCTATCAAATTCAAGGATTAATATCCTGCCCATGAAAGAGCTCTCTAATTTTAGCTCCATCTAAACCTTTAAGGGAAAATGGTCTTATAGGCTATGACCCTCAGAGCATAAGCCTGAGGGAAGTTCAATTGCGTGTTCCCTAATCCATGTGACATCTCCACTCTGCTCCCTTCACACGTTAGTCACATCCAGGATTGACCAACCCTCATTGACATCTCTCCCAACAGGCCTATGAGCGTTCGGAGAGCGAGGAGGTCACCTTCATCACTCAGCTGGTGAGGAAGCTACTGATTGTCATTGCTCGGCCAGCTCGTCTCCTGGAGTGTTTGGTGAGTTTACCCACCGTGTTACCCTTCTCTCTCATCCCCTCTCCGGGAATCGCTTCCTGCAGAGCTCGGCTCAGTCAGTACCACTCTCACCTCTTGATCCAAAGGCTGTGGGTTCAAACCCTACATTGGGTTCACGGTCTAGGGCTGAATCCTCAGGAGTATTGGGTGGGGGGGTTGGAGAAGAGTGCTGCTCTTGTTGAATTGTTGAATGCTTCGAGGTGTCCTCTTGCCTTGAAAGTTGCTGTATAAATGTAAATTGATTTGTAATTGGATTGGATTGAGGTGCTGTCATTCAGATAAGACCTTAAATCAGGGTCCTGTCTGCCTATTCAGGCGGATGTTAAAGATCCCTTGACACTATTGAGAAATAGGCCATCGGTCCTGCAAATAAAATTGTCCGTTACTTCACAGCTGTTTGTGGGATCCCACTGCGTGTAAATTGACCGCTGCCTTTACCTAGAAATACACAGTTGCTACACTTGACAGAAATTCCCTGTGAAGCTCTTTGAGCCACTACAACGTTAAAAGGCACCGTCTTAAAGGAAGATACTAATAAGTGTGGGTGTTTGGCTTCTGGCGCAGGAGTTTGACCCGGAAGAGTTTTACCATTTGCTGGAAGCAGCGGAGGGTCACGCAAAGGTCGGGCAAGGAATAAAGACCGATATTCCTCGATATATCATTAGTCAGCTGGGTCTGACCAAGGACCCTCTCCAAGGTAAGGACTGAGACGGTATCTGTATTGTGTTTTGTGGGATGTTATCTAATCTTCAGCTCTGCACAGTTACAGCGAGTGACTCCCTACGGCTAATCTGACTTAACTGTTTGTCTCTCTCTCGTTGGCAGAAATAGGTGAGTTGCAGAGCTATGACGAGGAGAACACAGTGGCTGTGGATGCAGAAGACCCGCCGGATGTGAGTACAGCCATTCACGGTCTCTCGTCTGATGTGAACCAAGCTATTTTTGTGTGTGACATGCTGTGGGATTAATGTATTGACTGAAATTGGTCCGTTTCTTTAGCAGAACCGAGGAACCTCGACACCGTTGCGGAGGAAACCGAGGGAGAGTGATTTTGAGACCATTAAGCTGATTAGCAACGGAGCGTATGGGTAAGGCTGCCAGTAATTATGGATTGTGTGATCCATCTACTCTGGATAATAGTGCTGAGTTATTGGTTGGGGGGGAGGGGAGAGAGGAGAGAGTTGCTGTGCGGAGTTGATTTATGAATGCCCCGTGTCTTGGGTCCTCCCCTACAGCGCGGTGTACCTGGTGAGGCACAAGGAGACTCGGCAGCGCTTTGCGATGAAGAAGATCAATAGGCAGAACCTGATCCTGCGGAACCAGATCCAGCAGGTCTTTGTGGAGCGCGACATCCTGACGTTTGCTGATAACCCTTTCGTGGTCACCATGTTCTGCTCCTTCGAGACCCGGCGTCACTTGTGCATGGTCATGGAGTACGTGGAAGGTGAGACAGGGCTGTAGCGGGGCGGGTTGGGGGTGGCGGAATCCGCACAGAATTTGGAAGGTGGGGGGAGATGTACAACAACAACAGATTATATTTGTATTGCACCTTTCACATCAGGAGGACGTCCCAAAGCACTCATGTACAATCCTACTAGTCTCAACTCTGAACGAATTTGCCTGTGAGTTGCACTGACCACAGTTCCTGTGGCTCAGAGTGACATACTCTCAGTTATCATCAGGTTCCCCTATTTGTCACTCAGCTGAAGCTAACTGGACCTTGCTGTGTGGAGGTGTGATACGCAGTGTGCAAGTGTGGACCTAATTTCATGAGTGATTCGTCAATTTAAACCCAAAACCTCAATGTCAGTCCCTGACAGTGTTTTCACGTGTGTCCAGGTGGAGACTGCGCTAACCTGCTGAAGAACATGGGGCCGTTAACGGTCGATATGGCGAGGATGTACTTTGCGGAAACGGTCCTGGCTTTGGAATATCTCCACAACTACGGCATTGTCCATCGGGACCTCAAGCCAGACAAGTAAGTGAGCGCCTTGCGGTGGGGGCGCAGAGCAGTCCAATGCATTGCCTGACATTGAGAAATTGTGAGCTGTGGGAGAATGGAAAGCTACCAAAAAAAACAGTTGTTTGTGAACCCTCTTGGCTTGTGTCTGTGTATTTTACCCTTAACTTGGATCATTGGGATTTATGTTCATATGGCACCACCTTGTGGCAATGTTATGTGTGAATTTGTTGACAATAACTACTGGAGCTCCTTCATTAAACCTCTCGCCAGTCTGTTCACACCAGACCCGGCGCACATTTACAATGAGAAAAACATGAATATTTATTCTTTTGGCCTTCGGTTGTTTTAAGTATTTTTTTCAAATTTCAAAACGCTGTTTGCAATCGAGGTAGAGCAGCATTCACTTTCATTTCCAATGGGTTGTATATTTTGTGAAATGCTTTGAGATGTTTATTCTTATGTGAAAGGTGGTGTGATTGTGGAGTCTTTAATTTGCAATTTTCGGAAAAGACCTCATTAGGATATATCCACTGTCAAATTGCAATTAAAAAAAAGTCTGGTCTCTTTGGAAGCAGTCAACCATTTTATACCAAGTACAAATAGATGCTGTTGCTGTTGTTAGTCCTGGTGAACAGCCAGTGTACAAAGCAATACATAGTAATTGTAGCCACATAACAAGTGTCTCACAACCTCTGCCTCCTCTTCAGTTTGCTGATTACTTCCATGGGACACATTAAACTGACAGACTTCGGCCTCTCCAAGATTGGTCTGATGAATATGACCACCAATCTCTATGAGGAGCACATTGAGAAGGACACCAGGGAATTTATCGATAAGCAGGTATGTCAATAAGGCAATGATAGTCAGAGATACTGTACTTTGGATGCGATGTTAAGCTGAAGCTCCTTCTGCCAGTTCATATTAAATTATCCTGAGAGACTGTAAAAATAAGAAGAGATTTCAGTGTGCATGCGTTGGCAAAGTCTCAACATTTAGCAGCTGGAGGGATTTATCAGTCTTTCCTTCTCCCCTCATGGATCTCAATCCTTGAGTTAAAAGAGACATTATTTTCTGATCAGCATACGATGGGCTTGCTTTATTTTTTTTTTTTGCAGGTGTGCGGAACCCCAGAATACATTGCCCCGGAAGTGATCCTGAGACAGGGGTATGGGAAGCCCGTAGACTGGTGGGCCATGGGAGTCATTCTGTACGAGTTCCTCATTGGCTGCGTTCCGTTCTTCGGTGACACTCCAGAGGAGCTGTTTGGGCAGGTGGTCAGTGGTAGGTCTTTGAGATACTCATCCTACAATTGGGTATCAACTAGGCTTGGTCTGTAGTATTCTCGCCTCTGGGTCAGAAGGTTTGTGGGTTTGAATCCCACGTAAGGGCTTTGACTTTGAATCCACAGTCGAGATTGACACTCCAGTGCAGTGCTGGGGGAGTGCTGCATTGTCTGGAGATACCACCTTTTGAATAAGATGTCAAAACAAGGCACAGTCTGCTTCACTCATAGTCCTTGCATTTGATATAGCGCCTTATGTTACTGAGACATCTTAAAGCGCTTCACAGAATATACTGTAAAGTGGATGACCGTATATTTTGGGGGCGACACAGAAGAGTTGGAGGTGGGAGGGAGGGAAATGTGTCAACACCTTGGGACGTCCTCCCGACAGGAAAGGCGCTGTACAAATGTAATTTGTTTGTTGTTGTGTGTCAGTGAAAGGAAATTAAAACAAAACTCATTGTTGAGCAGTTTCCTGACTGAGCAATTCTTTATAAAATTCCCTAAATTTATTTGAAGATGTTTTTTCTCTCCCTGTCATAGATGAGATAATGTGGCCGGAGGGAGAAGAAGCTTTGCCCCCCGAAGCCCAGGACCTGATCACCAGACTCTTGAGGCTAAACCCTCTTGATCGTCTAGGAACGGGTAGGTGACATCAGCATAGAGTCTGAAATTAGCATCCGTCCTTACCTACAAAAAAAATAGGCTCTTGGCCCGTGATACATTTATTTCAGCATGATAAAGTGCTGCAAAAATCTTCAAGTTCTTCCCTTCTCTCTTACAGGTGGGGCCCACGATGTGAAGCATCACTGCTTCTTTGCGCCTCTGGACTGGAATGGGCTCCTGCGTCAGAAGGCGGAGTTCATTCCCCAACTGGAGTCCGAAGATGACACCAGTTACTTTGACAGTGAGTTCACCAGCAGTGTTGTGAACCCCAGGCTTTCACCTCCCTCTGCCAGCCCAGTCCTTTTGTCATTTGAGGAGAAGAGGCTCAGTTACGAAACTAGTTCTTAACTCTATACTGAAGGTGTTTGATGTATCCCAGTTTGGTGCAGTCTCGCAAGCATTAGGAGCCCTCTCCCACCGCATTAGTTATGTAGAATCATAGAAACTTACAGCACAGAAGGAGGCCATTCAGCCCATTGTACCTGTGCCGGTCCGGTTCTTTAGAGCTATCCAACTAATCCCACTCCCCTGCTTTTTCCCCCGTTGCCATGCAAATGTTTTCCTTTTTAAGTACCTATCTAATTCCCTTTTAAAAGCTGCTATCGAATCTGTGTGTTAGACTTGACCGGGAGTTGGGGGTGTGGGGGGAGTCGGGAGTTGATGTCTGTTGGACTCTGAGAGGGGGTACCTGGCGTTTCCTGGGCCGAGTGGAGATGACCCTTGGTGCTATCATTTTTTTTCCAGCCCGCTCTGAGAAGTACCATCACTTAGCCTCTGAGGAAGATGATGATGAGACAAACGATGAAGAGACGACGCTGGAGATCCGTCAGTTTTCCTCCTGTTCCCATCGCTTCAGCAAGGTGCGGCTTCCAGTCCCCTTCTCTACTTTCCTGAGCTGGTCCTGGTTCCGATCCGGATCCAGAAATGATAGCACAGGGAGCAGAGGATTCCGCTAATCAAGTCTAATCCCACTCTTTCTTTTCCGCCCCCTTCCTCCACCCCCCCCCCACCTCCTCCCATACTTGTTTCAGCCATTTGTCTTGTTCCTGGTTGTGGCAGCAAATTCCACATTCCAATCACTCGCCATATAAAAAGATCTTTTCCAAACTCCTGTTTTATTTCCTTTTGCCATTTTGGGGCCCGAAACACTGGTTGTCCAGGATCTTGGGAGGTCCTCCCAGTGTGAAAAGGGGTATACAAATGTAATTTTGTCGTCGTCGTTCTTTCATTTGTGTCCTCTTGTTACTGGAAATGTAATACTATTTTTACCGTGAATAAGCCCTTCATAATCTTGAAGATTGCTGTTGGGTCACCTGTCGTGTTCTAAGCTCATGTCTCTGTGCATCTCGGGTTGCAGGTTTACAGCAGCTCCGAGTACCTGGCCACGCCGTCCAACCTGAGCTCCTCGACTGAGCGCAGCCACAGCGAGGAGAAGTACGATCGCAGAGATCGCTGGGAGGATGATAAGAACCAGACGCTCAGTGTTACTTACAGGTATGAAGCCGGGGGGTGAGGGAGAGAAGGCGGCCTGTGTGTGGTGGGTGATTCTATCCCGGTGTTGGGCCAGGTATTGAGGACTGGACAGTCCCAAGGCACTGGACAGTCAAGGATTTGCACCCGAGCTGGGGGTTAGGATCGGGGGGTCGGGGTGGAGGGCAAGGAGAGTGGGGGTGAGAGGGGTCGGTCAAAGAGGTCGAATGAGACGGGCCTTGAAGGAGGCAAGTGAGGGGGTGTGAATCAAAGGTACTGTGGTATGGAGTTCCAAAAGGTAGGTACAGAAAGGCTGAAGGCCAACCTCTTGGCTTCTGAATTCGACTCTTCAGTGTGCTACCCGCTGACCTGGTTACTCTCTGCTCTCCCTCAGCTCGAGACCTCGGGCATCCTCGGCCTGTTCCCATCTGGACCGAGGCGGCAGCATGTTGATGCTGCGCAGCGGGGCCAACACTCCGGAGCCCCCGCCGCGCTTGGCCTTCTCCAACGAGGACGAGAGCGAGGTGTGCGCGCTGACCCAGCCCGTCACCCGCCCAGTCTTGCAAGAGCCAGACCAGGAGAGAGAAGGGAACCGGCTGAGGATGCGAACTTTCTCCGGTAGGAAGGCTTTCTCCTCTCAACACAGCCGTTATTTCTCACCTTCAAAGTCTCCATTCACATATTGGTGCTGTGCTAAAGCCTAAGGGAAATGAAGGGCTGAATGTTCTAGCAGAGAAACTACCTGTGTACGCTGATGTTTTTTCTCCATGTGATGCCTTCTCCCTGCTATGGATTCTGCTTTTAGCTATGTCTCTTGATAGGGCATTCAGTTTCTCTAGTCTTGTCTCACAACTCTCATCCTTGCCATCCTACGAGTAAATCTCTTTTGTAAAGCTCTCCTGGGTCAGATCTCTCCACCTTGTGTTGCCGGTTGCGTCTCAGGCCATTGAAATTGAGATCTTGTGAATGCGCGCATCATTAAAAAATCTCCAACATTGCAGCCCAGTTGTGGATAGTTAGTGTAGAGATATTCAGTGCTGTAGTGGATCTGGGGATGAAGACAATGGATATGATGCCAGGCTAACGAAGAGATTTTGCGATTGTCTGAATTATTCCGATTGTTTTGCGCCAGATGTTCTCGCTGATAGTATCAATCGCATGCGGGTGCGGAGCAACAGCACCGGCCACAGAAACTCCTTCCCCAAAGCGCTGGACCCCGCAATGGGACACAGACATGGGGGCCAGACGGAACCGGTGGAGATAAGCAAGGTGATGCCAGGACACAAAGTCCCCAAGTCGGCATCCGTCAATGCTCTCTCGCTAATTATCACTCCTGGTAAGTGAGGGCGGGGAAGGGGTTAAAAAGAATAGTCCTGGGCCACAGTTGTGCATCTGAATAAAAATTTTAAAAATAATAATGTCGCTCAGTCCGCGACTGTTTGTGGGGACGTTGCTGTGCGTAATTGACTGCCGCATTTCGCCCACAAAATATACAGTCAATTCACTTTTACAGTATATTCTGTGAAGCGCTTTGCGATATCCCGAAGATATGATCACACGCTATATCAAATGCAAGGATTATTATAATTATTAATTTAAGGAAAAAATTATTGTAATTATTATAATTATTAATTTAAGGAAAAAATGGGCTCACAGGCTAAGACTAGTTGGGATTTCAAGCCTCTGAACTGCTTGCCTTTTCACAGATGAGCTGGGCTGTATGCCCCTGATCAGTCCTGTATCTCCACACTCCCTCTCATCCAATCCGTCCTCCAGAGATTCCTCCCCCAGCAGGGACTCCTCTCTGATCATCGCAAGCCTGCGGCCTCCGATCATCATTCACAGCTCCGGAAGGAAGCTAGGATTCACATTGCGAGCCATCCGAGTCTACATGGGAGACAGCGACGTGTACACAGTCCATCATATGGTCTGGGTAAGAACTTTGGGGTTGTTCACAGTCTCACAGAACATCACAGCACAGAAACAGGCTATTGACGCTGTTAACCAAATCTACAATGGTGTTTATCTCCATATGAGGCCAACTCATCTAATCCTACTCTCCTGTCACTCTCCCTACTCTTCAAGTATCTTAACTTTTTATAAGGAGGTTACGCAGTTTGTGTCTACGGCCATCGTATGGTAGAGAATTCCAGCCACCCTCGCTCGGTGTGTGTTAACACGGCCTTAAAGTTTGTGGCGTTTCAGAATAATTGCCCACTAGATGGCAGGACCCACCTGGTAAGTGGTTCCTGACGGTTCAGATCCCAGCGCCTGACATTTTTATAATCTGACGCCAGTGATCTTTGGTTTGCAAATTGTGGGCCTTGGCTGCTCCATCGTTAAAAGAGATTTGACCCGAGAGAGCATGTATTTTACCTTCTCCTCCCCTGTTCTCCACTGGCTGAGGAAAGCTGTTTGTGTTTGGCCTGCAGAGCGTGGAGGAAGGGAGTCCAGCACAGGAAGCGGGGCTGAGGGCCGGGGACCTCATTACCCACATCAACGGGGAGTCTGTGCTCGGCTTGGTTCACACTGACGTGGTGGAGCTCCTCCTGAAGGTAAGCGCGTTACTAATCTGCGAGCCTGTCCACCGTGTTTCCCCTGCTCTCTTCCCCCTCTCCGCCCGGTTTCCTCCTCCGTTCCCCCGCCCTGTCCCCCAGTGCGAACCATCAATAGCTTTAATAAATCGTTGCCTTCGCACAGAGCGGGAACAAAGTAGCGATCAGGTCCACACCACTGGAGAACACCTCAATCAAGATCGGGCCGGCGAGAAAAACAAGCTACAGGGGCAAGATGGCCAGGCGGAGCAAAAAAAACCGGAAGAAAGATGGACAGGACAGGTCAGTGTCTGTAACTGGGCGAATTCGGGCAGATCAGTGTCTGGCCAACAATCCTCCAAGTAAATTAGTCGTTTGTTTCTTGGCTGTTTATTGGAACCTTGCTGCGTGCAAACTGGCTGGCGAATACATGTATTGTGTTTTGAGATGTTTTGATGTTGTAGACGCTATATCAAAGACAGATATTTATTGTCGTCGTTGTTGTTGTGTTCCAACAGGCGAAGATCGATCTTCAAGAAGATCTCCAAGCAGCCGACTGTGCTACACACAAGCAAGAGCTTCTCGTCTGGTTTGCACCAGTCTCTCTCCTCCAGCGAGAGCCAGCCAGGCTCCCCCACTCACAGTCTGTCTCCCGGGCCGGCCACTCCCTGCCGCAGCCCAGCCCCCGACCATCAGTCCGGTAAGGAACATTAGGAACAAGAGTTGGCCTTTCAGCCCCTTTCATCCTATTCTATTAGGATCATGGCTGATCTCTACCTCAAATCCATTTACCTGTCTCTGCCCCACATCCTCGCTATCCTGACCTAACAATATCTAAGAGTCGTGTCAAAACGCCTCAAAAGATTTACACTCCACTCACGGCAAAATGTATGTACATCACACCTGAAAAACTGACCTCAATAAAAGCAAATGCCAAGGGATTTTCTTAAACCAAATATCTCCCATTTCTTACAGGGACAATCTCTCCGCAGAGCACCTCACCGGCCTCGAGCGCTCCGAACTCACCGGCCGGACACATCCGGCCCTGCACACTGCATGGACTGGCTCCGAAGATCAGCAACCAACGCTTCAAGGTCGGCCGTCGCAAGTCGACCAGCAGCATCCCCCCCTCTCCGCTGGCCTGCACCCCCTCGCCGACACCCCAGCCTCCGTCCCCGCAGCGTTCCCCCTCCCCTCTGTCCTGCTACTCCAAGAACTTCCACCTCTGCCATGGGAAGAACCTCTCGCCTCCCACCATCGTCAGGCATGCGGCCCGTCCCCGCAGTGCAGAGCCCCCCAGGTCCCCTCTGCTGAAGCGCGTGCAGTCGGCAGAGAAACTGTCAGCCGCCTACCTCGCTGATAAGAAGGCACTCGGCTTGTGGAAGCACACGCTGGAGGTGCCTCAGGGCGAAGGCCTCCAAGCCACGGGAGAGATGGAGATCGACCTCCAGCCCACGGTCAGCCGGCCATTGCCAGAACACGGCCGCTTGGTTCACGCGGGAAGCCCTAGGTTAAGGGACTGGACGGGGGAGATTCACGAGAGAGATCAAGATATTGTGGTCATGAGGAAGCTGAAATGGTCAGAGCGCCGAGATTCCTTTAAGAAGCAGGAAGCCGTGCAGGAGGTGAGTTTCGATGAACCCGATGCCACCAGCGAGCTAGGGAGAGCCAGGAGAGATCAAATGGGAGAAGATGGTGCTCGGAGGCAGGCGTGTTCTCAGTTTAAAGTACCTTGGTTGGAGAGTGAACTTGACTTTGATTCCAGTCCCAAGTCAACTTCCAACAAATTCCCAACAGATCATCTCAGAAGTTCCAGCAGATGGCGGTCACCCTTCGTACCACAAATCGAAGTTTATAAGACGGAGGTTGAAGGGCAGAAGAAGGGCGTTGTGGAGTGGGAATGTCAGGGCAGCTACCCAATCTCAAGGTTGCCTCACGACCCCTTTGGGCTCTTGGATAAACCCGGATTTGCCGAATTAGAAAGACTTGAGCAGGAGTGGGCGAGTCGGTCATTGCCAGGAACCCATTCAGAGAAGGTTGAACAGAGTTTACCGGGCGAATTACCCGTGACCCCCAGACTAATCGCTGGAACGTTTAGCACATCGCTGCTGTGTCCCCTCATTCCAGGAAACAGCCAAGTAGATTTGTTGGACTATCAGACGACAGATCCCAGGCCCTCGGTGACGACGAGTGAGAGTTTGACACAGTCCGCACCGGCTGCGGGGTCACCCGGGCAGGGACACCGCACGGAGCTGCAGGGAGAACCCGCTTGCCGCAGAGAGGGCCTGTCCGATAGACGCGGAGCGGACGAAAGCACCTCCGATTGTCCGGACGGGAGGACGAGGAATCGCAGGAAAGGAAGGATCAAAGACTGAGTCTGGCAGTGGGCGATGCCGAAGAGATATCAACAAAAAAAAACATTTGGGTTAATGTTTGCTAAGCTGTGCCTGTGTTTGTGTGCGCATGTGCGTGTGTGCGCGCATGTATGTCTCTGGATAGGGTCCAGGACAAGGTGAAAGAAGGTTTCAGTATTGTAAATATCCTGGTTTTGATCAAACGCTTTTTAAAGGTCTAATATGAACCAAGTTCAGCAAGGTCGCAAGTGAGAGTGAATGGAAATTTCTTCAGCTGTTAAAATACAATTGGGAGTCTTCAAGCGCCGTTACTGATGTACATATATACAAGCGAGCAGGTCAGAGCAGAACAAGGAATTAACTGTCATTAATTTATTTAATACATTTATATAAGCTAATAACAAATTGGTAAATGGGGCCAAACTCTAACCTGGGCTTGTCAGCTGTCTGAAGACCAGCTTGCGACTGCCCGCCAGGATAGGGGTAAGGGGAGGGAAGTGGAGTTTTTCTCTCGACTCTTCAATGAATAATGGTGATAATTGTCTACGTTGGCTCTGGACTGATAGTTGAGCCAGGTAGCACTGCACTTAATTTGTGACCAGACCTCCCACTAGGCTCATGAAAGGCACTGACTGATGAGCATGTCACTACAGAGGGTGAAGGGGGGGATTATTTCCACCCATTTCCTGCCAACCTTTCTTCTCAACTCCCTGATCGCTAAGTTGGTCCTAGCTGCACAGTCAGCAAAAAGGTCACCAGTGGTTTATTTGTTTCATTCCCAGTGTTCCCCCCCCCCCCCCATTTACACACCCATGTAAAATTTGGGGATACCCAATGTCTTGATGTCTGCCAATTTGGATATGTGGTCTGTGGGCAGAGGCAAGCAGAGTCCATTGGCCTTTTCTCTTCCCCCCCCCCCCACATCTCCCAACTGGATCCCTCACCTCTCCCCCCCCGGGATTGGAGCATTGTTAGACTGGTAAAATAGGTCTTATTCCTGTGCATCCTTGGAAGTTGGAACTGGAGACTTTTAAGTCCACTAAAGGGTTTCCGTGGAAAACATCTGACCAAATAGTAGGACACTGCTGTCCACAATTGGCTGTTGCATTTTTGCCCACAAAATACACAGTCAATTCACTTTGAGGGACAGAACTCCTCTTTAACATGACATTCCATATTTGAGTAATGGTAATTTGCAATGCTTCATAATTCTTTCCTTGTGATAACTATTGCATTTCACCCCAAAAGCTTTCACCTGAAACTTGTCTTTTACTCCCATTTCCGATGGTCCATGTGTAATCCGCTGGAAACCGCTGCAGTGCTGCTCACGGGCAGGCAAGCTGTCTGAGTATTCACGTTGCTGGCAGACAGACAGCAGATCAAGCTTTCTGTGAGGAGATCAGTTTAACCTCGGGAGCGCGCTGACCAACTCAAATGAGCTCCATTTGAGCTTTTAGCCATTATGCCCCTGCTCTCTGTAATTGACTTTCAGAACCCCACCACCTTGTTCCCTCCCCTCTCTCTCTCTCTCCCTCTTTCACACAGAATTAGAGACTTGAAGTCCTCAAACGCAGCTGGCTGGAGTAAGTGAAATTCTTAAGACAGCAGCTCCCAGGTTGTGCCTAATTTTTATACATTCCACTCGTAACGTCAAAAATATATTCATCCCAACAACAATGGCCCAAGTGTACTTGATGCACGGTGCCCCCTTCCCTTCAGCTGTGACCCCATTAGCAGCTGCTGCTTTTGGAACCTTTATTACCTGTTTAATTTTTTTCTTGGCTTTCCTCTTCGGAAGGTGCTTTTATTCCTTTTTTTCTGCTACGGGGTTGTGGAAGGTGGAGGGTGGAACGAGAGAGAGTGCTGCTGCCTCTGGCACATGTGATGTGTTAACATTGGAATGCACCGCTGAATTGACCCCAATAGTCCACTGCTTCCTGAGCTTCCCAGACTCTCCACACATTGCAACTCATTGCGTGTGGTGTACTCTCCAGAGGAAGAGGGAACCCTTTCACCCACAAAATATACAGTTATTTCACTTTACAGTGTATCCTGTGAAGTGCTTTGAAACGTCTCGGAAGACGTGATGAGGCACTGTATTAAATGCAACGATTTTTATAAACTGGAATTGGCTCGCGGGAGTGGAGGGGGGAAGAAGATGAGTTGGTGTACATGGTGGTTGTTCTGTGGTTTGTGTGCATTTTCCGGTCAGCAAGCTGCTTGCATGCTACAGATAAGCATGTTTTTTTTAAAAAAAAGTCCTATTTGTACTCCTATTACATGACTCCGTTGCTTTGTTAAGCCTGATTGCAATCCTCTTCAGAATGACTGTTTTTGATTTTTTTTTATTAAAGTTGTCGGGATTGTTTTCGTACGAAGATGTTTTTTTTTTCGAGTGGGGGAGTGGAAGGATTAAAACATAATTTAACCTTTCAGACACAAACTTACACCCCAGTCAGAAAATGGGTGTAAATAACTTGATTGAGGGACAGCTTGCTGATGGGCAACTAATGGATTGTGCGACAAGAGGTTTTGGAGGAAAATGTCCAAAGAGGATCAGACAACGGTAAGACAATGATATTCGAGCGCTGGGTTTGTACAGTGCCGTCAGCTCTCGTGCAGTTCGGGTTCCAACTTGCAAGATTTGCCAATGGCAGATCTCGAGTCCGCGGCTCTCTGGGCGTCCACTTGTGATGCTGGGTCATTGACATCTGATTTGAGGGGCTCGCCTGGCTCTGGCTCGCCAGAGATTTGCTTGTTACGTGTGTGAACGAACCATCTGCAGTGCTTGAAGTGCTGATTCTAATTGCTCTAGAGAGATATTGGTGTCAAGACAATCCCAGTGTTACGATGAACGCAGATGCAGAGTAGGGTCCGCTGTGCGTTCCCGGAACTGGGACGCTACCCTGCGTATGGGGCGTTATATAAATGCAAGCTGTTGCTGCTATTAGGAGGACCTGCCAGCAACCAGCTATGGCAGAACAAGTGTCCGTTAGGTGAGAAGCAGGTCTGGCTTACTTTTTCCCCCCCTCAATGAACTATGTTGCTTTTCGAAACCCAACACGTGAAGGCTTTTTCAATGTTAAGTTGGTGGATATCCAGCATTACCGTTTTTAGGATTGGCAGAATGTGAATTTGAAGCGGGAGGGGGTGGGGGGGGGGTGTTATAAATAATAGTGTTAAGTAGTGAAATGGGAACCTCTTCCCCGTACACACAATGTGCCTTGTGCTAAGAGTCTAGCAATGCTGCCAATTCGCACACAGCACAACCGTGGTACAACTCGGAAGCGTAATAAATTGGTGAATGTTCAGAAATAACGATGGGTTCATCGGGGGCACCTTGAGCTCACAGTCCAGCCTGACACTCCAGCAAGGTACTGGGAAGGCGGCGCTTTGCCACACTTTGCCATCCTGTGGACAAGAAGGTCATGCCTCGTGTTCAAGTGCACGTTAAAAGATTTGGATAAAAATGGACATGGTTCAAAAAGTAATGGTCACTTTGCGGCCGGTTTCGGGATCCGACTGTGTGCAAACTAGTTACTGGCCCATTTGCGCATGAATACAGACATCAAGCGTGTCAGCAATCGGCCGTGAAGCACTTGGAGAGAAGTTTCAACGTTGTAGGCCGGCAGGCGCTGGGCGAAATGTAAAGGATTTAACAGCTCCAGGTTGGAAGCTTGTGGCCAGCACGTCACCGATCAGACGTCGATCCCCTTGAAACAAAACTTGTGCACAATCCATTAACCTTTGGTTCCCAAAAATAAAATTCCAACAGCTTTAGCATAGCACAGAACGGTTGGGTTAAAGCTCTCCAGTTGCGCCAAGTGTGAATGAGACAGAAACTATGTTCGGACAATTCCTGCGACTGATATTTGTTTTGCCCGTGGTATTATTTAATCAAGAGAAAATTACATTCCTCCAGTTCTTATTCCTGTAACGTTATGACTGGTTTCCAGCGCGTGACTCGATGTGTGTGATTTTTGTAAATTTTAACGGGACTGTAATGCAAACGGTAACAAGCCGATCCCGCGAAGAAATATTTTTTAACCATTCTGCCGGTGTGTTTTTCTGTGCGCTTTAATAATTGGGATTTTTTTTTTTTAGATATGTATACATGCACGTGCATATATTTAAAAAAAAACTTTATAAGTTTCGCAAGTGCTTCGTCGGGTCACTTTTAAGCGGCGTGTTGGAATAAAGGAGTTTGGAATAAAGGTGTTTGGCTTCTGTCACTGGGAGTATTTCGGGTGTCCAACTACAGTTGGGACGTATTCTGGGGGAGGTTTCAGCAGCTGATGTTATTCCACGTAAGGGACCGGGTCACTCCGAAACGACTTCATTATAGGTCGACGCAAAAAAAAAAAGGATCCTTTCCCCCCCCCCCCCAAAAAAAAAAAATGCCTCCTTTCCTTTTTGAAAGTGAAACGCGATGATTGCGCTCGATCCAAGGTTAGGTTCGATCGCCGTCAGCAGAGCGAGGACAACGTCAGCCGCAACACCGGTAGACTATGTGCTATAATTTGAGGGCGAGTGTGAGATCAACCTGTAATTCCTGGAGGACAGACAGCCCGAGGGGCTGGACAAGACGGGGATTCCGACCCACGCTGGGGTGTGAGATCAGGAGAGGGTGGGAGGGCGTGGAGGATGGAGGGTGGGGGTAGGAGGGTGTGGAGGATGGAGGGTGGGGGTAGGAGGGTATGGAGGGTGGGAGGGCGTGGAGGATGGAGGGTGGGGGTAGGAGGGTATGGAGGGTGGGAGGGCGTGGAGGATGGAGGGTGGGGGTAGGAGGGTGTGGGTGGAGGTGGGAGGGCGTGGAGGATGGAGGGTGGGGGTAGGAGGGTGGGAGGGGTGGAGGATGGAGGGTGGGGTAGGAGGGTGTGGATGGAGGGTGGGAGGGCGTGGAGGATGGAGGGTGGGGGTAGGAGGGTGTGGATGGAGGGTGGGAGGGCGTGGAGGATGGAGGGTGGGGGTAGGAGGGTGTGGATGGAGGGTGGGATGGATGGATGGATGGAGGGTGGTGGTGGTGGTGGGGTGGGGGGTGGTAGGAAGGCGGCCGAAGGCGCGGTCCAAGAGGAGGGTCTTGAGGCGTTCCTCGGAGGGAGGGAGGGAGGGAGGGAGGGACTTCCAGAGGGTGGAGGGGGGGGGCAGAGAGGCGGACGGCCCGACCGGTGAGACGGAAACAGACGCATTGTGCCCCACAATGATTGTTCCCAGTGAGACCCCTGATTTACCACCCAACCCCCTCCCCTCCCCTCCCCATGGGCTCCCACATGGCAATCCCACATGGGTCTGAGCAGGAGTGCTGTCTCCAGGCAGACGGAGCCAGCCGGCGACCAATGGCAGCGCTGTTGCCGGGGCACGTGGTCGGGCTCCCGTCACCGGGTGTGCGTGCGCTCCGCTTGGGACGGGAGTCGGGCGCGCTCGGGTACGTCCGTCCGAACTCGGCGGCGGCTCGAAGCGGCGCTCGGCTCCATCCCGGAGACGCTCGGCCCGGCGCTCGCGAGGCTCTCGGCCGTTTCCGGAAGGGATCGGCCGTTTCCGGAAGAGATCGGCCGTGTCCGGAAGAGATCGGCCGTTTCCGGAAGAGATCGGCTCTTTCCGGCGGGAGGTGGGGGGGGACGACTCGGCGAGGCGCTCGCTCGACGCTGCAGGAGATGGCGGCGGCGGCGGTGGTGGCGGCGGCAGCGGCGGCGGGAAGCCCGCGGGAGCCGAGCGTCCTCCGCGGCCGGGAGTGAGCGACCCGGAGCCGGCCTCGGTCAGCGAGGGGAATGTGCGCGGCGTCTGCAGAGGAGGAGCGGGAGGAGGGAAAAGCCGAGGAGACGCCGGGAACCGAGCAGCGACGGGTGAGGGAGTGAGGGAGGGAGGGAGGGAGGGAGGGAGTGAGGCGCCGGTGCCCGGGAGAGAGGGGGGGGTTGCTGGGTGCCCGCCCAGCTCGAGCCCGCTGCCTCCGGGCCTTCCCTCCTCATGAGGACGGGGAGAGGAGAGGAGAGGGGAGAGAGAGGCACTAAAAAAAAACTATGTGAGGCTTTTCTTCTCTTCTTTTTTTTTTGCAATCGGCTTTCGAGCGCCCGAAGTCGTCCCGTTCCCCCCCTCTCTCTCTCTCTCTCTCTCTCCCCCTCTCTCTCTCTCTCCCCCTCTCTCCCACCACCACCACCATCACCGCAGGTGATATTGGTGATCATCATCATCATCTTCTTCATCGTCGTCGTCATCCATAATATTCCTGGCGTCCGAATCGGCGCCTGTAATCGGGTCGTCTCAAAGCGCTTCACAGGGACACGCTGTCGAAGCGGAGTGACTTGTGGGTCAATGCAAAATGAAGTCCCCCCTTCTCTCCACTGATGTATTTTTACCACCAACCCCTCTCCCTCCCTCCCTCCCGCTTTGCCCCATTCCTAATCCCGCTCAGGACCCCACTTCCCTACACTTAATCTGCCTTTTTACCCCCTCCCTCCCTCCCTGTCCCTAATCCGTCTCCATACCCTCTCCCTCACACTCCCCCTTTATCCTCCTCTCCCTGTTTCCCCCTCCCCAGATCCTCCTCTCTCTACCCCCCCTCCCCTGTATCCTCCTCTCCCCATACCCCCCCTCCCCTGTATCCTCCTCTCCCATAACCCCCCCTCCCCTGTATCCTCCTCTCCCCATACCCCCCTCCCCTGTATCCTCCTCTCCCATACCCCCCCTCCCCTGTATCCTCCTCTCCCCATACCCCCCCTCCCCTGTATCCTCCTCTCCCTATACCCCCCTTCTGTGTATCCTCCTCTCCCTATAACCCCCCTTCCCCTGTATCCTCCTCTCCCTATACCCCCCCTCCCCTGTATCCTCCTCTCCCTATACCCCCCCCTCCCCTGTATCCTCCTCTCCCTACTCCTCTTTCCTTTCTCCCTACCCCCTTTCCTATTCCTTTTCTTTAACCCCCCCCTTTTTTTTTTCCTTCTCTCCCGCCCCCCCCACTTTACCAATTGCCAGTTGCAGTACTCCTACATGTCTGTATGCAAGTCTGAGATCAGGAAACTTGGCCCAGACCTGGCTGTGGCTTGCCTCTGGCCATTAATGCATTTCCCCCATTGAGTGAGTTTGCGAGGGGCTGCCAGCTCAAGAGATTTAAGTGATTTATTTTAAAAGAGTTGCCGGAGATTGCGTGAGTGCTACAAGGCTCCCGATGCCCTTTCGTGCAGCCCTTTTAATTGCGATCCTTGCATTTGGTAACGTCTTCACAGGAAATTGCTGTCAAGTGCAGTGACTGTGATTTGCAGGCGAATGCACCGTTTTGGGGGTGCCGGGGGGGGGGGGGGGGGGGGGATTATCTAAGAGTGCAGCCCGTCTCTGTTGGTTTGGTGTTTCTCTTGAGAATGGCTCATTGTTGGGAAATATTTCTTTGTACTGAGTTTGTATTTTATTATTGAGTGGAGTCTGCGGGGTGATTTCCCAGCAAATTCGAATGTCTAATTGCTCTAGTTGGAACAAGTGTGATGTGATGTGAGACAAAGCAAATGTATGTGTGTGTGTGTGTGTGAATGTGGGGGAGGGGGAGAAAGGAGGTTACTCATTGGAAAGAATCCATTGCAAAATGTCTAGGACTCCAATCCAGCGCAGCAGACATTGATCACGAGCACGGGCTTGAGTGGAATTTGTTTCTGACCACTGCAACGCCGTCGGTTGGGACAGAATTTGATGAGGAAAGGTGAAAAATAATGGCACGTCCCGAATGCAGAACTTGAACCAAAGAATAACTCAATGGAAACTTTGTGAGAAGTTTCTGTTTTTATTTAAAAAGAACTTTTTTTTTCCATACATCATGTAAACACATCAAAAGATGCAAAATGGGGAGAGAGAGAGAGAGAGTCGCCCTTTGGAGACTAGAATCCTGGTTAGTTATACACAAAAAATTAAATGAGTACCAATATACCTATTAATAATAACTACTCGATTATACAAAATCTATACATGTATATACATATATAAATGGTATTTGATAAAGAGAAAAGGAATTGGAATAGGCTGGAGGGTCAAAAGCGCCCCCCAAAGTGACTGTATTCTGTGATGGAGTTAAAGACAAGAAATGCTCACGTAGACGCTTAGAAATCTACAGTATGAAGGCAACCATTTGGCTGGCTCACGGAGCAATTCAGTTGTACTGCCCTGACTTGTACCCCTTCAAGCCCCTCTCTTTAATATGCCTGTCTGCTTCTCTCTTGAAAGGCTACAGTGCCTCTACTTCCCTCCTCAACAGGACATTCCACATCCCAACAATTCTCTGCGTGAAAAAAAAACCCTCCTAATTTTCCCTTTTGCGGTTATTTGTGATTCTCTTACCATTCTCTAACTCAGTTGATGGGGGTGGAAAATAAACCTGGCGGAGTTGTGAGGGCAAGAACGCAAATGCTTCAGGTCAGTCAGCAGGAACCTTGACTAACCTAATAGTCATTTTGGATATAGTGGCTTAGCCTCACCACCCGCTGTCTCCGCTCGACTAGCTCCTTCCTTCATCATGTCCTTCGTGCCGTGCCCTACGTTCCACCATCAGTGACCGCGCCTACGGCCCGAAATGCTAAGTGTTCTTGTTTTCGTATCAGCCCGTCTCGAAAAACTTACTTTTATTTAACAAACTAAAACCAGATAAAACTTGTGAACTTCCTCACCCCAACCCCCCCCCCTTCCAAGGTTGCAAAATGTACCTGCAACAAGAAAAAAAAAGGTGAGAATCTTGAGCTGAACGACTGAGGAAGAATTTGATTTCAGAAGTGAAGGATGACTGACGTTGGGGAATTTGCCTCGTTAACCACAATTCTTATCGCACTGATTCGTCTATTTATAGAGCAGTCAGGAGTTTTACGAAGGTTCTGCTGAAAGCGTTTTTTCAAAACCCTTCTCTCTACGTGGTTAAGTGCACAGCTGTGGAGGTGTCCAAAAGGTGACTTGTCTGATACCCACTCACGGATTTTGGCTTTGTCCATGGAGGACTGATGCAATGGTTTGCTAAAATGCTGTGGCAATGTTTGATGTGAGATTCACCAACCCTTTGTGCTTGTTGCAACCTCGAGTTACTTCGTTCTCAGTCAACTTTGTTGGGAGGTGTTTCTGGGAGAAATCGGTGTGTTCTCCGTGTTAAGTTTCAAGAGAAAAAAAACCACTCCAGTGCCATCTTTGTGCTAGCTTTCCCTTAGGCTGAGTTTAAAGGGGGGGGGAGTCATTATTCCTCCTAGAATAATTAACTAACGAATCGGAAGCTTATTTCTCCTTATTTAAAATTGCTCTGTAATCATTTTTTGTTGTTTTTACCGTTAGGAGATGTGCGCCCTGTGACACCAGCGTCCTTGCAGTGTGACGGAAGGGTAACCAATTCATGGTGCTTTAACACAAACCATTAATCACTTGGATTGCGACTACTAGATGTGTTCTACAGAAGCAGCTTCAGGTTTCCTTGACTGTCTACGTGATAGGAAAGCTCACCTGTTCTGCTTTGGCTCTGGCAGTTTGAGGACTACTATGTTGGTCTCTGACCCCCAGCCCTCAGTAACCTGCTTGAAGCTAAGAAAACAAGGTACTTAATCGTGACTTTTGCCTCATTGTAGTTTTCCCACCAATCTTGGGCACAGCTTGTGAAGTCAACCATGTGCGCCGAAGGGTATCGGTACCGCGCGCTCTATGAGTACAAGAGAGAGCGAGAGGAGGATATCGATTTGATGATCGATGACATTCTCACCGTTAGTAAAGGCTCTCTGGGGTCTCTTGGTTGTAAGGAAGGGGACGAGCAGAGCCCTGGCCAGATCGGCTGGATTACAGGAATCAACGAACGGACCAAGCAGAAGGGTGACTTCCCCGGCACCTACGTGGAGTTCTTGGGACCAGTTGCAATCTCATTACCTATGCAGAAATCCAAGCAGCCCAGACCATTGCCTCTGACACCAGGAGGCAGCACGTCCAAGATGGAGGCAGCAGAAGAACACTATAGTAAGTATTTGTTGCCAATTTGTGAATGTCTTTTATGGTTAATCCACTCTGTGGAATTACACTTTACAAACTTAAGAGCCTTTGACCTGAGGATTGTGGCCAAAACATTCCCTTTTATAATGAAAGTTAAACGTTGAGAATGTTTTGTGCTATTGTGCCAACTCAAGTGAAACTGTTCAACTACTTAAATAGGCTCCGTGGGGAAGTAAACTGGAATGAGGGGACCTTTTAGTCTTTCTCTGAATACTCTAAAGAATTGATTACTGGTTAATTGGTGGGCCAACATTGGCAATAGGGGAATTCTGCCTTTCCCCATTTGTCCTGTTTTTAGCAGAAAACCCAAATGGAGGCTTTTTCCCCATACTTGCCTTCCCCTCAGGCAAGTAAGCAAAAAGAAGCTGAATGCGATACTGTTGGCAAACGTTTTTCTTTCGCTCCTGAGGCTGCTCTGAGTGGTACTGGCAGATAATTGGGAGTAAGTTGTTTATTTTGGGTCTCAAGATAAGTTGAGGGGCGTGGTACTGCCAGGTACAGTATTTGGGAGTGAGTTTTTTATATCTCCGCAGAGACTCCAAACTGATGAGACAACTGTAGTGAGTGCAGTTTTGTGCTTTAATAGTGTCCCTGCGAGGGAAATATAAGTTAATGTTTCATGCCTGACATTTCATTGGAACCCGTAAAGGGTTCTGACTGAAAAGCTTTCGGGTCTCGTTTTCAGATCCTGAATGAACCGTCCTCCATTCCTGCTGCTTTCTATTTTCATTTCACAATGTAGGCAAATGCTGCCTTTTATTGTGAGATTTATAAGCCAGCATTACACTTGAGCACACAGGCAAGCCGCCATCTGACTCCATCTCCTCCGCCAAGTTCTACCCTGCCTTTGCTAATGTATATGTGCACACTGCATAGTTATTTAAGAATAGGGGCCTGGCTGAAGGAATTTTGTTCTTTATCCCAATCAAAGTACATTTTTATTTAAAACGAGAACAAAGTTCAAGATTTGCTCAATTTTCTTGTCTCTCCTCCTGAGCCCCAGCGCCTTGGGACGTTCTCTCGGCATGAAAGGCACTATACGAATGTAATTTTGTATTGTCTTGCATTAGTACAATTATGGTGTCAGCGAGAGATCTTTCTCCAAACTCTCAAAAACATATTCTCCGGAGGAAGAGTGAAGAAAGAGTGCCTCTTTAATGGTTAACCACTTGCTTTTGCGAACTAACTCCAGGCTAAGTATTTAGAACGTATAGTTGCCGAGGGGGGAGTAGGGGAGAGAGACTGTGCTCAGGCAAATCAGGTTATATTTAGCGGTACAGAAAATGTGAAGATAGGTGCACGTTTCATCATGTAGCTCGCTCGCTGGCTCTGTGCATTGGAGCAGTTTCAAGTTTCTGAGAATGCTGTTGCCAAGATGCCAGTGAGATTATGGAGAAGGGCAGACTAATCCTTCATCCTATTCCTCAATCTCCTTTCCTTGCCAGAAATAGTTCTGTGTTTTTCCAGAGGTGATGTTTTTTTTTCTCTCTCTCGCGCTCCCTACGTGAAAATGCGAGCGTTTCCCTGTCCGCATTGATCCCACACCACTCACTGAATTGTCTTACAAGCAGCGCAGAAAGTGTGAATTCAAATGGTGCCGTTTCCAGTTGACATAATGCTCCTTTCTAATGATTTTTAAAAAAAAGAAATCGACTTTTCTACTCGTTTGGGTCTTGATGGAATCTGAAAATCTTACGGTTTTTTTAAGAGGGGGTGGGGCGCGGGTAGAACGGTGTGAGGGGGGGGAAGGGTGTACAAGGCTTTGCTTCTGCACAGCAATGGAGTCAGATAAATTTTTTAAATTCAAAGTATATACTTTTTTGATGCTCGACGGACACAGAATAAATCAGTCCAGTGAGTTTGGAAACCTCTACACCAGTAGTGAGAGAAGGAAGGGGGTGTGGGGGGGGGGGGGAAAGGTCAATCAAAACACTGAATAAAGAGCAGCCAACTGATTTTTTTTATATACTTGATGGCATTAAACATTGTGGTCAGTGTTGTAAATCCTTCCAGTCCGCAAATTCAGGGCTGTGGAAATTCCTTACTCTTTTTTTTCCCGCTTGATTTAACCCCTTCTCTCTGAAAGCACGATATCCTGTTTTAAAGCCGGCGTACCTTAATCTCCACGTTGACTCCCCATTGGTAGTAGTAGAAGGGCTAAACCAGCAGGTCGGTGATTATCCCAACAATTTTCAAACTCCTTGGTGGATACTACCTCAAACCTAAATGTATTAAAACGCAGGAATGTCTCCTGACACCTGATCCTGTTAATCTTACAATTTAAAACTTTTTTCCGCACGCTTTGATTAGTGGGATTACCGCAGCTCAATTAATGGTGCTGTATTTCTCTAGTCCTGATTGGTACACACGCAAACAATCCTCGAGTTGTTGGTGTATAGTGTGACCCGTAACAATAGTAGGGTTTTATTTTTCGTGGGGTGGGAAGGGGGATTTCAGGATCAGCCAGATGAATTACAATAGTCTTTTCCGGCCTGTACGTCCGTCATCTACCACTGTTAACAAGGGTGTCAGTCATTATATTCCACGAGTCCTTTTCTCTGTCGATGAACAATTGCATCAGTGTGATCTCGCACCTCCCCATTGATGCCGTGCAGTTGCAGTGGGAGCACATCACTTGGACAGACTGATTTATTCTTTGAGCAAGTTGGGCATTAAACCTCCAGCAGGAAGGGTCTGTAGCAATTGTGAGTCTTTAGATTGCCGTGCCACTATCCCCCATACAGGCTTTTCACAGTCTTATAAATGCTACTGCTAATAATAATATTCCTTGCATTGATACAGCGTCTTATCGTGTCTTCGCGACGTCTCAAAGGGCTTCTTCACAGAATATATTGTTCAGTGAATTGACTGCATATTTTGTGGGTGAAAGGGTGACTGGGTAACTGCACAAGGTGTGGATGGAATTAGAGCTAAAAATTTAAAACTACTTCCGTTCCCCCCCCCCCACCACCCCCACCTCCCAATATTTTTCCAGGGTTATGTTTTTGAGGGGCATTACTATACCGATGTTTCTTTTTGCGTGTGGGGTGGGGGAAGGAGGTGGGGTGGGGGGGGGTATTACATAATTTTGAACCCTAATGATTGTGGGTCATTCGGCTCTGAAAGCAGCAGTGTGTGTAGTAGTTCAGTGGAATCGATGTCCTAGTTACCAAGAGGGCTTTGCAAGGAATCTGCTGACTAGGCAGCTTTAACATCTGCAGGAGAGGATTTATGACCACGCAAGCCAGCTTTGACAAAGGCCGCCAGTGTTGGTACTTGTTGGAAGGAATGTGCTCTGTGTATGTTGAGGTTTTTTTTTTTGAACTTGCTGCATGCATCTGCGGAGGCTTGAAATAAACTTTTTTTTTTCACCTCTCCAGGATTATGACTCCTATATCGGTGATTAGGGAACGATGGCCAAAGTTTTATTTATTTTTTTCATTTGAGTACCAGATCGGAATCACGACAAGATCAATCCCCGAGGCTGATGCGTATTGCAAATGCCCCATGACCAGGATTGGGCTCCCATTTTGAAACATTATTGGCCATGCTCGCAAGCTGTTAGCTGCTTATTTGAGAATGTTGCATCTTCTGCGCGGGCTAGTGTGCGAACCAAATATAATGCTCCAATCGCAAATCTTGAATAAATAAGAATAACAAACCTTGTATTTGATACAGCACCTTATCACGTCTTTGAGACGTCTCAAAGCGCTTCACAGGATTTACTGTCAAGTGAATTGCACACAGCAGTGTCCCACAAACAGACGGGGATTGAGTGAATAATTTAGTGAAATCTCCCATAACCTTTCATGGTGATGGAACTCTTGAGTTTAAAAAAATCCAGCTGTGTTTTCATAAGAGATTACAATTTCTTCCTGTTTTTACTTTGGGATCTATTTCCTTATATGTATATATTGTTTTCTTAAAGTGACTAATTTGCCGGACGTGACCGAGCAGTCTACTACTCCAGATGTGGTGTCTCCAATCCTGGTCAAGTTGATCGAAGCCATTGAAAAGAAAGGTAAGCTGGAACCCGACTGGGGAGAGCACAGAAAGAGCAGGCTTTCATTAGTGGTTACGCTCAAACCACTCAGTCGATCTTTAAACTTTATATTTAAAGAAAGAAAAATAATCAATAGATGATTCCGGTGCTGGCATATATGGTCATAGAATCTTACAGCGCAGAAGGAGACATTTTGGCCCAACGTACCTTTGCTGGCTCTATCCAACTAGTCCCATTCCCCTGCTCTTACCCCATAGCCCTGCAAATTATTCCTTTTTAAATCCTTATCCAATTCCTTTTTGTGGCGCCTTTAATTTTCCTATTTGGATCTTTCAATATAAGTTTTTTTNAGATTATGTCAGACGAAGGATATTGAAGCCCCCTGAAGAACTGAAGCCTTTGTTCTCCGACTTGTACAAAGTCTCTTGTTTGCGGAAATCTACCATTGAAGGGTGAAAGCTAACTAGGTCTGACAGCAAGTAGGCAAGAGTCCCTGTTTATCCTGAGACAGTTTAAGGGCCAATCTAGTAATAGTAACAATAATAATAATCTAGTCTAAACTTGCCTTTGCTCTCCCAACGGTGAGTCACGCCAGTCACCATTGGGAGGTTGTGATTGTGGAGCACGTTAGGTGGTGATTTTGTTGGCAAATGTCTGCTAATAATTGGGCTGATCATACATGAATCATCTTTGCAAATCATCTCGCTCCTGACAACACCTAGCCACAGAACTCCAATGCAAAGTGGATGCTTATAAAATGCCAGAAGACCTGAATGTTCTTCCCGTCCTGAGAGAGTTTCATCGCTGAGGTTCCGTGTTGTTATTTTCAGTGTAAAATGTGCCCGTCCGTTACCAGAAATCCGTTTTTAACCCTTGCAGATTTGCGAAGTGAAGCTCTGTACAGGACATCTGGGTCTCCTGCTGGATGGGAACTCCAAGAATCCCTGCACAGCGGTAAGCACCAGATTCCCACTTTATTCTCAGGGTCTCGGAGTCAGTGAATACGCATGTCAGGGGTTAGGGGCGCGAGAAGAGATAAGAGATTAATTGAAGGCAGTTCCTTATTAAGCGCTCTGAGGCGCTACCCTGTTTGAGGGTATAAATGTAACTTGTTAAGATAACAGGAATTTGTTGTGTCGTGACATGAAGACGACTTCTCCACGCAGAGTCTTTCCCCACTTCCCTGTATCACAAGCCACGTGTATCCGAGGGGACCTTATAGATATATATACGAGGTACTAAATGGATGAGAGAAACAGTTAAACCAGGAGCATTGCCATTTCAGGTTTAACTTATGTTTCCCTTTGAAGGCGGTTGGCAAGTTTGAAGCCTGGAGTTGCTTCTTTTGCTGGAATAGTTGTTTCATCCTCAAATACTCCTTCCTCTGCCGATCCTTTTGGGTGTGCGTATGTGTGTTTATGTACTTGCATGTATGTGCGTGCAAAAGAGTTTTGAGAGGAAAGTTTAAATGTATCTTTAAAATTAAAGCACTGTATTGCAGCTGTTTGCAATTATGTCAGTTTAATTTTCCAGAATTGAAATGATGGATTTCAACATCATTCACTGAATTCTCTCCTACCAAATGGCACTCTCTGTTGGGTTATCCCTCGCTCCATGACCAATGTCTAGACTTCCTTTGGTCTGGAATAGCTGCATTGTTCTGGTGCCAAGAATGTTACTCGCTATCACGCTGAGTTAAGCAGCTGGAATGGTGAACCTGCCCAATACCTCGGCTCTTTTCCTGTTCGTAGATGCAAATTCAACAGACATCGAACAGTTTGATCTGCAGTCCCTCACGGATGCATTGAAGGGTTACCTACAGGACCTTCCGAATCCTGTTCTACCAGTTAGTGTGTATAACGAGCTTCTCTACTCTGTGCAAGGTACGTTACCTTATCCGTTAGGCATTTTGCATACCTGATAAGGAATGTTTGAATGTGGCAGTGACTAGGAAGGGCATTGCTCCCAAGCAAGTAAGGTGCTGGCAGTGGGACAGGATGCGTCTCACTGAACAGAAATATGATGTGTGTACCCTTTTGCTTCTGGAGTTCCAAAGGGAAATGGACTGGAATTGGAATAAATTCAGTGGAGGCTGAGCATCAGCACCTGATTGTTGCGCTACTCTCCTCCGGCTCTGTTAGCTATAGTTTCTACTGCACATTTCCTTTCCGGTTCTCAGGACTGTACTGGCCTGGTCGATGTACGACTTGCATGTAAAACACGAAGCTAGGCAGACAAGGACCACAATTAATGTCTTAAAGGGAAAACAGGTTGCCTGTCAATCTATAAATAAACTTGCATTTAGAGTAAAATGTTCAGTGACAGTCCCTGATATTCGGATGTTCAACAATGTGTTTTTCTCCACCTAATGCTATCCGTTAGCAAACTCACTGAACACGTGGGCATCAACGAAAACCACTTCTCATGGCTATTCATTCCCTGAGCATTTGGTGTTTGTCTATTCTGCACTTGTATAATGCGTACAATTCTGTTACGTGTGGGAAGGAGGGGCTGTGTGTGTCGGGGTGGGGGAGAGAGAGATTGTGTACCTTGACCTCTGGGTGCAGGCAGGAGGACATTGGGTGTGGGCGCACAGAAACATCTGCACCTTCTGTTGCGCTGCGAATGGAATTTCATAAAATCCAAAGAATGTGAACGGCTTGAGAATAGTCAATGATTCATTTTACATCTCCCGTCCCATTCCATGTCCTTTCCTGTACACTTCACTCTCCTGATTATTGCTAACAATTTGTGCCATTCTTAATCGCCACAAGAACTCTGGTTGTTCTCATGAATCCAGGAGATATTGAGACAGAATGGGGGAGATTTGTTATAATACGGAGGGAATTACTCCCTTCAAAATAAATAAATAAATAATGATTTGGTCGCTCAATCCACCACTGTTTGTGGGACGCTGCTGTGCGCAATTGGCTGTCGGGTTGCGCTCGCAAAATACGCAGTCAATTCGCTTCACAGTATATTCTGTAAAGCGCTTTGAGCGTCTCGAAAACGTGATAAGGCGCCGTATATATCAAAATGCAAGGATTATTATTATTATTTGTGTGTGTGTGAGACAAATAATATTTACTGATGTTTAGTTTATTGCCTGCAGTTGCTCTCGCTGACTTGTTCTCCCTTAAAATCTCAGAGGTTTCCAACGCGAAGGAATGCAGCCAGCAGCTGCGGCACATCCTCCAGTCCCCTGCCGTCCCGCTGCAGAACCAGCTCACCCTTCAGTGTCTCGTCAGGCACTTGAACACTGCCTGCCAGCACTCCGGGACAAACGGACTCACCCACAGGGCCGCGGCTGAGATATTTTGCCCTTTGCTCTTCAGGCTACAGTCGTCAGAGTGAGTATTGAAATGGGAACCTGAGGAGGAAGAAGAGACGTGGGTCGCGTCACGGTCCTCGCAGGACACTACGAGACGAGCGTCCTATGTGTGAAAAAGGCTCGATATAGACTACTCTTTGTAGTGTGTTCTCATATAAGTTTGTATCTTAATAATAATAATCCCTCCAAAACCAAAACAATAATTAAATTGGTCATTTTCAATCTACGACTGTTTGTGGGACATTGCTGTGCGCAATTGGCTGCCGCGTTCGCCCACAAATATACAGTCAATTCACTTTACAGTGTGTTCTGTGAAGCGCTTTGGGACGTCCTCCTGACGTGAAAAGCGCTATATCAAATGCAAGGATTATTATTATTATTATTATTATTATCTTGCAGTGATGATTAACAATAATTGATAATAATGCTGGCAATTTCAAAGAGCGCCTTTTTATTGCATTGGCGGGACAATTCAGATTTACCCAGGGTAGCGTCTCAGAGCGCTTCACAGTGCTGGAGCAAACCGGGTGGAGGGAGGAGGTGGCCGTAAGCAGTCGAAAAGGAAGGTCTTTCAGGTGTGACCTGAAGTTGTGGAGGGAGGAGGCAAGGCGGAGGGATAGAGGGAGGGTGTTCCAGAGTTCTGGGGATGCGAGACTTATTTCCCAGTCGGGTGACGTGCGGAAGTTTTCTATCTCTTTCAGGAACGAAGTGAATCCTGAGCATCTGATTGGAGTGATCGAAACTCTAGTGAAGGAAGGCGGCTGGGAGGAAGAGCAAGTGGCCCCAGGTACAGGTCCCGTTTGCTTTGCAAGTCGTAGCCTCCTATTCAGTGCGGCCAGCACAACGCCTACATATTAACAGAGCCCGGACAATCTAATTTCTCTCTCTCTCTCTCTCTCTCTCTGTGTGTGTCTGTCTCGCAGCCTTACCGCCCAAACCAGTGAAGAACAAAGCAACAGTGAACAGTGTGGTCAATGCAGCCGTCAATGGGAACAGCATGGCGCTGCAGGATGGGGAGTGGTACTGGGGCGATATATCCAGGTACACACCATCACAAAAAGCTTAAAAATGGCTGCCATCCTCCTGTCACTGTCCGTGACCGGCTTCTCCAAGAAGGAAAACAGTCCTTGTGTCCGGATTTGACTGGACGTTGCGTTTTTAACTAGCGAGCTTCCTGAAAGACTTAACTTGATAACAACTTGCACCCTTCGCGCGGGGGGTAGCGCCTCAGACCGCTTGCTTGTTGAACCGGGATCCCAGCACAGAAAGTGGGCTGAGAGAAGATTGGGTGGGAGCTGGGGCTGAAGAGAGTGAATAATTCCTCAGGTCTGGGCTTTGCTGCTGCCTGTTGAGAGAGATTCGCAGACAGTGGACAGCGTGTAAACATTGCACACACTTCTGTTAACAGGGAAGAAGTGAACGAGAAACTCAGAGACACGCCCGACGGGACTTTCCTGGTTCGAGACGCCTCCACTAAGATTCAGGGAGATTATACCCTCACCCTGAGGTAAGCAAGAGGCGAGAGTGAGTGAGTGAGTGGGAGCGAGCGAGCGAGCGATTGCACCCGTGTGTGTGGGTGCGAATCAGCCTGTCGTCTCGAGGTCCCAGAGGGGAAAAACAGCTGGTTTTGATGTCCTGGACCCTCTCCAGCGTTCTCTACTGGCTATGTGCATGTACAGCAAGCGCGGAGAGGAGAAGCTCGTTCTTGCTCGGCTCTTGACTCCCTCTACAGTCAACTGGGCTGCCGTTTCTCTCTCTCTCTCCCTCTCTCTCTCTCCCCCCAAGGCTCACACTGCAACCATCGGTGGGTGTCTGGCCTCTTGGGTGGGCAGCCAGGGCCCGTGAAACCGCAACCTGGCAATAGGAGGCCGGAGCAGGTGAACAGGGGTGTACCGGCAACACAGAAAAAAAATTAGAAAAATATTTGAAAATTAGAGAGGGCTTGTTGCACTTCCAACAACAGTAAGGGAGCAATAGACGGGGAGCACTTAGAGACACCCCCCACACCCCTCCCTCACACCCCTGAGTGAGCATGTGAGGCTGTCTGCTGGAAGTGCAGCATTTAGTGGAATCCCATTGCTGTTTGGGTGGCCGAGACTTTGAACCGAGCTGCTTAAAAATAATAATCCTTACGTTTGATCAAACACCTTATCACGTTGTCGACTTTGCGACCCCTCAAAGTGCTTCACAGAGTCTAAAGGGTTTCTTGGGTTCTTTCCACAGGAAAGGAGGAAACAACAAGCTGATAAAGATCTTCCACCGCGATGGGAAGTACGGGTTCTCCGAACCGCTGACGTTTAACTCGGTGGTGGAGCTGATCAACCACTATCGCCACGAGTCGCTGGCTCAGTACAACTCTAAACTGGACACCCGCCTCCTGTACCCGGTGTCGAGGCATCAACAGGTACTAGGAACACTCCTCTCACCCTATCCCCACGCGCCAGTGTAACCCCCAACCAGTTCCTCACAGTCCGTCACTGGAGATGACCGTTCCATCTACAGAAGAAAGAACTTGTACTCTTTTTTTTAAAGTGTGTCTAAACGTCTCTGTGCGCTTCACGTGTAATTAGTGTCTGATGGTTATTGGCTTCTTGTTGGCAAGCGCGGAACCTGCAAACAGCTATCAAAGAGTTAACGTGTCTTGTGTGTTCTTTTTCTCCCCCCCCCCCCCCACACACACTACACGCCACTCACACACACTACACGCCACTCGCACACGCACTCTACACGCCACACACACACACATTCACTACACCACACACACTCTACACGCCACACACACACACACCACACACTACACGCCACTCACACACACACACCCATAGGACCAGCTGGTCAAGGAGGGCAGTGTGGAGGCAGTGGGTGAGCAGCTGAAAGTTTACCATCAGCAGTATCAGGAGAAGAGCCGAGAGTACGACATCCTGTATGAGGAGTACACCAGGACCTCGCAGGTGAGGGAGTCTCTGTGCCCAGCGCGTGGCCTGTGAGAGACGCGCAGCTCTGTCCCGTTTCGTATCGCAGGAATGGTTCAGATGAAGGAAAGCCCCATCAGCCCATTGGTGTCATCCTTCCCCAAATGCAATCCTCCTGAGCTTTGTAACCAAATTCAGCTTCCTGTCCACAGCTGCCTTCTTGGTAACCCTTTCACTTGTCCATTATAATAACTAATAATCCTTGCTTCTGACACAGCGCCCTTTTCACGCTTTCAGGACGTCTCAAAAGCGCTTCACAGGAATATACTGTAAAGTGGATTGACTGCGTGTTGTGAAACTTGCTCAACATTTTGCCTTGCCCGGGAATCGGGGCTCCGGTCCTCTCGCTCGTGAGGCGAGGCGCGCCTGCTCTAACCGCAAAGCTACAGGACTTCATTCTCTTTGAGGAGGAAAATCTTCCGGGTAGCAACCAATTCAGCTGGGTTTCTGCCACCACTTGAGCTTGCACTGTGAAGAATCGGCAGGTTGTTCTTGTGTCGGTGGTGGGAATTCTGTGTAAATTCCAAGAGGAAGGTGTGGGCAAGGGAAACTAATCCACTTGTTTTCTGTGGTCTGGGTGCTTAACTTGTGAACTTTGTTCCCTCCTGCAGGAGATTCAGATGAAGCGCACGGCGATTGAAGCTTTCAACGAAACCATAAAGATCTTTGAAGAGCAATGCCAGACTTGGGATCGCTACAGCAAAGAGTACATAGAGAAATTCCGGCGGGAGGGGAACGAGAAGGAGATACAGAGGTGTGTGTGCACGTTGTGAGACACTGCCCTGCATGAAGGGCACTATATAAATGCTAGTTGTTGTTTGTTTGTGGGTGTTTGCTTTAAAAACATCCAGTTCACCTGAAAAGGGGAAGTGGGAAACCAACTAAGCTCCAGTCTTGTTCCTGGCCTGGGCTGCTCTCTGGCCAGCGAAGGGCCAGAGGGCGTCCGATTTCTCCCCACCCACCCGTTATACAATATATTTCCCCACTTAATAATAATTTGGTCACTCAATCCACGCCTGTTTGTGGGACGTCGCTGTGCGCAATTCTGCCGCGTTTCGTCCACAAAATACACAAGTCAAGCCATTTACATATATTGTATATATTGTGATATATTGTAATTTCGAGACATCTCGAAGGCCCGATAAGGCGCTTTATCAAATGCAAGGATTGCTACTACTGTTACAATAATGAGAGTTGGAAGTGAAATCGTGCTCTTGCTCAGGATTCAGCTGAATTTCGAGAAGCTGAAGTCTCGGATCACCGAGATACACGACAGCAAACTGAAGCTGGAGCAGGACCTGAAGAACCAGGCCACGGACAACAGGGAGATCGACAAGAAGATGAACAGCCTCAAACCGGACCTCATGCAGCTCCGCAAGATCCGAGACCAGTACCTTGTGTAAGTCTTAATCTTAACGGGCGTCAATGTTAACAACAGCATTACATTCCAGCTGGGGGTTGGGATCAGGAGGGGAGACTATAGGGGTAGGAGGGTGGGTGACCGAAGGCGCGTTTGAAGAGGAGGCTCTTGAGACTGGCCTTGAAAATGGCGAGCGAGTGAGTCAAAGGGACTGTGGGATGGCGTTCCAAAGGGTGGGGGCAGAGAGGCTGAAAGCCTGACCGCCGATGGTGGGCTGGAGCCCGCTGAGCGGTGGTGGGGGGGAGCAGATTCTCCCCTGCTATGGTGTCTGCAATCGCCTTTGGTGATGTGGTTGAAAAGCAGAAGTGAGAAAACAGGCGTGGGAGTCAGGAAAGGGCTGTGGTGATGATGTTATTTACCATCTTTCTGAAGGTGGCTGAACCAGAAAGGGGTTCGACAGAAGAAGATTAATGAATGGCTGGACGTCAGGAACGAGGCGGCAGAGGAGTAAGTCGCAGTCATTGCACCTTAAAGTATATCCACAGTCACTACACCTGACAGTATATTCTGAAGTGCCTTGAGACGTCTACACGATGTGATAAGGCGCTGTGTCAAACACAAGAACTACTATTACAATAAGTCGCCAAATGATTTTCTTTCAGCCTTTTCAGTTCCTTTCTCTGTCGTGCGTATGACCAAAAGGAGGTCACCTCCTCTCATTAAGAGTAGGAATGTCCCTTGGAGTCAGAGCCGTGGCTGTCATCTGCGTTGAACCTCTTTATTGAGGAATTTCACACGGAGCAGCTGGGAAAAAGCACAGAGCCAGACCTGCGAAAGGTTCTTCCCTGTGACTGTGGTAACTGGGTGTAAACGCACTCGCAAAGAGGTGGGGGTGAGGCACGGCTACTTAATGCCTGTTGAGCCGTTCATTATATCAATCTTATATGCTCCACTTGAGTCTCCTGGTGCGTAACCCAGAAGTGGGTGCGCAGGGGAAACCTGTATAAGAGCTAAGCAAGGTATGCAAGCGTGTGGGAATGGGGGAGAGGCGTGTTTCATTGCAACCTGGGCACTTGTTTTACCGATTCCCAATATTATTATTATTTTGGCCACTTCACTGTTGTGTTCTGTCTTTCCTCTCCTCGCACACCACACACCCTGAATCTTTTCTGCTTTTTCTCTCTCCTCTTCCCCCCCTCTCCCTCTCTTCTCTCCTTTCCCGATCCTCTCGCTCTCTCTCTCGCTGTTACTCCGCTTACCCTCCTGTGCTAACGTTTCTCTACACCTCCCCCCCCCCCCCCCTTGCCCCGTGACAGCCAATATTCCAGTCTGGATGATGAGGAAGACCTGCCTCATCACGAGGAGAGGACCTGGTACGTGGGGAAGATTAATCGGACGCAAGCCGAAGACCTCCTCGCTGGGAAGCAAGACGGAACATTCCTGATCCGGGAGAGCAGTCAGAGAGGCTGCTACGCTTGCTCAGTGGTGTAAGTTTTTGACACAAACTACACAGTCACTCCACTTTACAATATATCCTGTGAAGCACTTTGAGACGTCCCAACAACATGATAAGGCGCTATATCCTCGCTTTGAAGCTGATTATTATAATTAATCATAATCGCTTTCGAAAATAATAATAAATTGGTCACTCGCTCAATCCACCACTGGTTGTGGGGACGCAATCGGCTGCCGCGTTTTGCCCACAAAATACACAATCAATTCACTTTACAGTATATTCTGTAATGCGCTTTAAGACGTTTCGACAACGTGATAATAAAAATATTATTATTAATATAATGCGACTCTTATTTACTTAGAAAGGGGCACAAACTTGGCCGTGAGTCTAGGCTGAGGCTGCGTTTACCTGTGAGATGTTTCCCCGGGCGCTGATGGCAATTGTTTTTCTTTCTCCCTCTCGCAGTGTGGACAGTGACGTGAAACACTGCGTTATATACAAGACTGCTACGGGCTATGGATTTGCGGAGCCATACAATCTCTATGGCTCTCTGAAGGACCTTGTCGTACATTACAAGTATACCTCGCTTCTACAGCACAACGACTCGCTCAACGTCACTCTGGCTTACCCCGTCCTCGCTCCACAAGCCAGATAATTACATACCCCCCCCCACCCCCGCCCTCCCCCAAACCCCACCCCCCCCCGCCCTCGCCAAGCCACACAACGTCGAGTCGCACCTCCTTCTCTGACAGAGAGAGAGAGATGGAGAAATACTAGTTGTTTTAGAAGTTTTAAAACTCATCGCACAGTCTCCTTACTCTTAACTCCTCCCCTGGACCTCAAGATTGTGAAACCCTCTTTTCTTTCCCTTCTCTTGTTCCCTCCTTACGATCAAACGTAAAGGCTTTTGAAGCCTGAGCTCGGTGTGACCTAACCACTTCATCTCGATGTATCTTGACTCCTCTGCTGTCCGTTTAAACCCTCCGGTGATATCCTGCACAGTGAACCTCAACCCATCACCTTGGTCCTGAATATTATTAAAAAAAAACTTAGAGCAACAAAGATGTAGCAAACTTTTATAATAAAACTTAGTTTTGGTCTTTCCTGTGTTAGTTATTTTGTGTGTGTGTGTGTGTGTAAAAAAAAACTGCCCCGCTCCAGGAACATAGGAACAGGAGGAGGCCATTCAGCCCCTTGAGCCTGTTCAGCCATTCTATTAGATCGTGGCTGATACGTACCTCAACTCCATTTGCCCCGTATCCCTTGATACCCCGACCTACCTAATGAAAATCTATCCACCTCAGGCTTGAAAATTTCAATGGATCCAACCATAACCACAGCCTTTTGAGGGAGGGAGAGAGTTCCAGATTTCCACTACCCTTTGCGTGAAAAAAAACTCTTCCCCGATTTCACTCCGAGCTCTAATTTTGATATAATAGCTCATAATGATAGCTCATAATCTTATGTATGCATCATGCCTACAGTCCTCTTAACCACAGGCCTGTGTGAGAAGCCTTTGGTGGTACTTAGTTACTAACTTAAGAGGACAAAGGTGTGTTGTATTGCACAATTTTGAAACACTGATTTCTTTGTTAAACTGATTCCAGGTAATTGCAGAGTGATATTCGAGTGCACAGGATGGCCGTCCTTCCCTACTTGTAATTTTTAAGTATTAATTATTAATTGACGGTTGTTGGTGGATCGCTTTCCAGGGCTAATAATCCCTCTGGGGGAAAGGAAAATTTGCTCGCTCAATCCACACCTGTTTGTGGGAAACTGCTGTGCACAATTAATCGCCGCGTTTCGCCCGCAAAACGCCCTTTACTATGCATTCTGTGAAGCGCTTTGAGACGTATCAATCAATAGTACTAATTATTCATACAAAACAGTGTTGATAAGGTGCTCTGTGACATTGATCTCAGTGTATGAACAACCTTAAACCTTGGTTTTAAAAATACCTCAAGAGAAATCGGCTCTAGTTTCCGTTGCCTGTGCAGATTACAGGGTCAGTGTGGTTTATATTAAAATCTCTGTTCACATCCCAAGCCGGTGGTGTGGGGTGAGATGAGGCTCAGTCCCTCAGCCTCGCACTCGCCCTCTGGTTTAAAAACGCCCTGTTATGAACTTCCCTCTTTGAACGTTCATCTGGTTCCTACCCTCCTCGGGCGCCCACTCTTGTTTCTAATTTTTGTTTTGCTCAACCAGGTGTCTTGACGCACACGGAAACCCGTCACCGTGATCAGCCAGGCGACTTGACACGCGCGGAAGCCCATCGCCGTGCTGAAGAGTTTTCAAACCCAGCCGAGAATTCCATGTATTTCCTACCTACGACGTGGAAAAAATCTCTAGAGAGGTAGCTTGTCGGAATGGAATGCCCTCTCGTGCGTGAAAGTGCAAGTAGTTAAATATTTAGCTTCTGCAAAGAGTTTCCTGTTAACTGGACTCTACTTTGATGTTCAGGGTTGTTGCTCTCCCTCCTGTTTGGCCAAGTCCTGTTTGCGACTCGGCCGAGACCTTGGCACAATTACAGCGGGTCAGCAAGTGTTGTAAAAGCCAGGGAGCTGTGTTGGATACCATATCTATTTCTGTCTGGGTTGTAGCAACAAACTCGATGTTCTTGCAGACAATATTGTACATTTTACACTGTTATCTGCCCCACAACGAGAGAGAAGGAGCCTTGAACCTTGACTGAGATTCTGTTGAGACCTCTGCCTCGCGCAAGTCTTAACCCTTCCTCAACTAGAACAAAACCTTAGGATAACCGGGGGGATCAATGCACCGAATAGGGGGAAACCCTTTCACTTCGGTTGACAGATCTGAAGCGTTGTGTTTAATTTTCCCGCTGACCCTCATTAGAAATTTACGCACCAAATCCATGCAATAATTGACTTTTCTCAACAGCGGCAACTTGCATTTATATATTTATATATAGTGCCCCTCGAGCAGGGTATTGGCCCGGAGTGTTTCTCTTGTAATAAGCAAATTTTAAAAAAAAGCCCCTACGATTTCTGCAAAATGGTGACTTGTGGTATCTGAACTGCATCTCACAGTTTGTTCCTCTTTTTCCTGCTCAGAGCTCTACGTGGTGGAGATTATTTTTCTTCCTGTATCTGACTGCCTGAGCCCTATAATACTGAACACTACCTTTGCTTACAGCCGCCTGGTTTAACTTTGACTTAAATCGTGCGGCTGAATGTCCTCAGTGACCCCACCCCTTGCCCCTAGGTTTCAGCGCCTTGGGTCATCCTCCCGACATGAAAGGCGCTATAGAAGTGTAACTTGCTGTTCTAGGTCAGGTCAATATTCGCCCCCAAATATACAGTCAATTCACTTTACAGTCTATTCCGTGAAGCGCTTTGAGACGTCGAGAAGACGCGAAAAGCGCAATATCAAATGCAAGGATTATTATTATTTATTATTATTATAGTAGCACCTCTGTTGGAAGCAACTTTAATAACTTGGGGTGTTTTTTTATTGCAATATCCCTTGTTGTTTGGGTTCAGTTTTTTCCCCTCTCATCCGTTCTCTCAGCATTCCCTTCCCTCTCATAATCTACAGGCCTTTTAAAATCGGAGATTGTTGGCGCCAACCTGATTTATCTTGTGTGTGTGTGTCTGCTGGCTTTTTGGCCTTGTCGGTGTATTGTCTACGTAAGGGGTTTCCACTATCCTGATTGTGGGGGTGAAGCTGAACTCCGCCAAGATGACATGCCATAGCAGCGGAATGTCGGAATCGATCCAACCCTCGGTGGTGGTCTTTGTAGTCCGGTTCCTGCGCTCGGCGGGTCTGCAGTCCTCCAGCTCAGCCGGACTTGCAGGACTCGGACCGGCAGACAGACCGACTCACTGGTGGCACGGAATCATCCCACTCAGCCATTGCCAACCCAACAAGCCAAAGCCGTAAGGTGGGAGGGTGGTCTTCACTGGACAAGCAGTGGGAAAGCTTGGTTTCAAAGCCTTGTCCTGTCTCCCCCTCAACCCCCCCACTCCCTCCCGTTCTCTCCTCCCCCAAAACTCCCAAAGGGACCTCAAAGCACTTTAAACATTTCAGTTTCAGTTCCCCAAAGACACGACTTCCAACTTGACAGATGTAACCACAGTTATGGTGACTGATTAAATCACTGTTTCTGTTCTCTCCTCCAAACACACCCCACCTCATCTTGACAGTGATGTGGATGAACTGTCCCCCCTCCCCGTGCTATTGACCACTGTCCCATCTAAAGACAGTACTTGCCTGAGTTACCCACACGGATGTCAGCCAGTAATTAAGAAATCCATTAAGAACCAGTGCAAAATACAACCCCCACCATATTGCTAGTCTGGCCAATGGGCCAACAGTGGTCAGCACCGCACACGAGAACACAATTTATTTCTTATAATGTACTAAACCTGTGATGTGGGTCTCACACAATACCAAGAACATCAAGTCCTGGAGTTTCTGATTTCTGCTGCAATCATTCAACAACAGCAACAACAGCAACAACAAGCGTTTACACATTCCCCTTCATCCGGGGCAGTGTGTCTCAGAGCCTGACGCTGAGCCAGGGTGGGAGGGCCGAAGCCGAAGGTCTTCAGGGTGCGATATGAAGACGAACAAGGAGGGGGAGAGCGAGGCAGAGGGATCGAGGCATGAGGGTTACGGAGTCTCAGCGGAGGGGGGAAGGGGGGGGGGAGCGGCTCAGTGGCCACCGACAGTGGAGCGGAGGGAGGGGAGGGGTTGATCGAGGGTTAATGAGATAACAATCGGTTACGGCCTTGGTCACGTGAGTTGACTTTCAGGAAGTTGGCTTTCGGTATAACTTCTGCCGGTGGGTGGAGGAGTATCAGACCCGCTCCGCGCTGGGCTGTGAGAGGATGAGGAGCTCAGCCGTGTGGCTCCTGTGCCTTTTGTTTTGGGCTGTGAGTGAGGGAGAGGCCAAACCCGCCTGCAATTACTCTCCAGCCCAATGGTGCAGCTCCTACAAAATAGCCGCTGCTTGTCAGGTAAGCCCCTCGGCCCCCCGAACTGCCCTTCGATAACGTGAGAAGTTCCCAAACAACTTTTTCTTTCTCTCTCTCTCTCTCTCTGTCTCTCTCTTTTGTTTTCTTTCTTTCTCTTTCAAAAGGGCTTAAGGTTTGTACAGAGCGACTCGCAAGCAAAATGCTGGCTGTGGCTTTTTCTTGTTGTCTTTGGCTCCGTCCTGTCAGAATCTCATTAACGCTTCATTGAGCCAGGAGAGGTCTTCCCCACCCCACCCCACCCCACACACACACACACCACCCCCACCGCCCGGACTCTCCCCCACCCCTGCAGCCTCTGGAAGCCGCAGAAATTCTACCCGGTCTTAGCCTGCGTGACCATTTGTGTCTTGGAGTGTTAAGAAAACATGCGGAGACTGTGCTAAAGGCTTAGATCCGCTCTTTAAGTTGCGATCGTTTTTTGTGCAGAGTTAACAGGTGTCCCTTTGAAACGCATGACTGATGCTCCACTGCAGTGCGTGGGGTGTGTATGTGTGTGTGTGTGTGTCTGTGTCTGTTGATTTGTCAGACGAGATGTTAAACCCAGGTCCCGTCTGTGCTCTGTTCAGACGAGCGTTAAAGATGCCGTGGCAGCTACAGTGTTTGAACAGAGAAGGGAAGTGTCCTGAGGAACAGTCCCCCAGATACAGTCGAACCTTCACCCTTGTGGCTGTTTGGCCGCAAAATGCAGGGTCTCAGCCTTTATAGTACAGTACAGCCCGTGAAGAGCTTTGGATGGGAGCAAACAAAAAGGTTTGAAAATCCCAAGTGTATTTTTTCCCCCCGGCTTCGCCCGGTCAGTCTCCGCCACTGGAAATTCCCAAATCGTGGATAAACTCTCTCTCAGCTTTTCCGGCTGTGGCTCCGGTTTGGTGGATCGCCAACGAGAACAACTCACCGTTATACAGCGCTGCTCTCGTGGCGTAACGTCTCGGAGACTTGCCGGGGTGGGGGCTAGAGTCCGAGCAATGTGGGTGGGAGGGGTGGGGGGGGGAGGAGGAGGAGGGGGGAGCAGGTGACCATAGGCACGAGGTAGGTGTAAGAGGTAGGTTTTCAGGTGGGATTTAAGGACGTAGAGGAGGGTGAGATGGAAGGATAGAGACAGGCGGTTATTTTAAGGGATGAAACTCTCTCTTTCTCTCTCTCTCTCACTCCCCCTCTCCCCCCCCGCCCCCCGCCCCCCATCTCTCTCTCTCTCAGGTGCTGGGGCAATGCCCTGGGTTGGAGCGAGACAGTGCGCCCCCAGTGGAGATCAGCCTGTACTACGAGAGCCTGTGTCCCGCCTGTCGCAGTTTCCTGGTGCTGCAGCTCTACCCCACATGGCTGATGCTACACAGCATCATGAACGTCACCCTCGTGCCATACGGCAACGCTCAGGTAACTCACACTCGCTCTAACACACACACACTCACTCACTGACTAACTCCCTCGCGTACTTGCTCGGTCACTCTCACACTTGCTCGGTCACTCTCACACTTGCTCGGTCACTCTCACACTTGCTCGGTCACTCTCACACTTGCTCGGTCACTCTCACACTTGCTCGGTCACTCTCACACACACACACACACACACACACACACGGGTATAATAACCCTTGTGGAATCTTCTGCTTTCAGTCTGAGCTCTGATTTCACTTGAAACGCTTTTAAATCTGTTCCAGAATTAGAAAGAAAAAGTTAGCAGTTCTGGCGTGAATGTGAGTCACCGCCAGACACAGTCAGTGGTTAGCGAGATCTTCACTTCTACCAACTGACAGCTGTGATTTAAACACTTTTTTTAAAAATACGACAAGAAGATCACAAGATCGTTTCGGCCACAAAACACACGAGTCAATTCACTTTACAGCGTATCCCGCGAAGCGCTTTGAGACGTCTCGAAGACGTGATAAGGCACTGTAACAAATGCCAGGATTATTAATTGTTATTATTATTATTATTATTAAGATTGGTTTGGATGAAGGAGGACCTTTTTGATCTGATCACCTCCAGAAAACCCGACCATCTGCCCCATCACAACATTGAGCTGCTTTTAAACGGAGTCCCAGAGTCCCAGCCTCGACCACACTTCCTGACAACACACTGATTCCCCGTCTCATTGATATTAACCTTAACACCTTCCTCTTCTGCCCGTCTCTGTCCGACCAAATCCCGCTCACCTTTTGCTGTCGTCTCTCCTTAGGAAAAGTTGCAAAGTGGCAAGTGGGCGTTTGAGTGTCAGCACGGAGAACAGGAGTGTTTGGGCAACATGATCGAGGTGGGTCTGAGCTTCCCAAGGGCGTCTTCCCACCACGCGGGAGACTCGCTCTATATTCCTATCGTGTTACAACAGATTCCTGTAGCGTTGTGGTTAGCCCCCACCCCTCGCCTCGCAAACCAGAGACCCCGGGTTCGATTCCCGGGCGGGTCAGGGCAATACCTTAGACAAGTTTGGGTTTTTTGCGGGCGGGGAGTTTGGTGAGGGGTGGGGGGTTTTGGGGGGTGGGGGGGGGTTGGGGTGGGGCAGTGGGAATGGGACCTCTCCTACTGCGAGGCTGACCTCTCTGATTCCTGCTCACAGGCCTGCCTCATGCACACACTGAAGAACCCGGAAAATTACTTCCCGATCATTTACTGCATGGAATCGGCTCCTTACGTCATCAAAGCGGCTGAGCTGGTGAGTAGCGGGCGGGAGGGCGGGCGGGCGGGGCTGTAAATCCCACCGCTGTTTGTGGGGAACGCTGCTGTGCGCAATCAATCGGCAGCCGCGTTTCGCCCACAAAATGCACAGTCACCGCACTTTAAAGCATATTCTGTGAAGCGCTTTGAGGCGTCTCAAAGGCATGATACGCCGCTGCATCAAACGCAAGGGTTACCGTTGTTATTATTATTATTAATAACCTTTCTGGGCTGCGCAGTGTGTACGGATCTACGAGCCTGCCCAGACCTGGAGCACCGTGGAGAGCTGCGTACAGGGAGACCTTGGAAACCAGCTGATGCACCGGAATGCTGTGCAGACTGAGGCACTGAATCCACCCCATCAATACGTGCCCTGGATCCTGGTCAACGGGGTAAGACTGGGAACCTGAGCTCCGTCCCCCAGGGAAACACACTGTGTGTGTGTAGATTGGCTGCCGCCTTCGCAAAAGAAGGTCACTGCACTTAACAGTGAAGCCCGCGAAGCACTTTGAGATGTCCTCCTGACGTGAAGGGCGTTGGGTCAAAGGGGAAGGGCTATTCTTTTTATATTGCCATTTGATTTTCAGAACCACACAGATGTCCTGGAGTCTCATGCCGTAGGTTCCCTGTTCAACCTGGTCTGTAACTTGTACACGGTGAGTGAGATAGTCCGAGTTGATGCTCCTCAGTACAGCGCAGTTGGTGGGCGAGGGGAGGGGTGGGGGCGCGGTGGGGGGTGGGAATGGCTGCATTGTTGGAGACGACGTCCTTCAGATGAGACGTTAAACTGAGGTCCCGTCTGTGATGTTAAAGATCGGGCGGCGCTGTTCGAAAAGAGAAGGGAGTTTCTCTCTCTCTCTCTCCCTCCCAGGTTCCTGGCCAACAATCCCCCTAATTAAATTGGTCGCCCACTTCCTCTGCGGCTGTTTGTGGGACACTGCCGTGCGCAAACTAACTGCCGCGTTTTGCCCACAAAAAAACACCGCTTGACAGCGACGCAGCATGACCACGAGTGACCCGGCTGTGTTTATGTCCGGCAGGGAACCAAACCGGAGGCCTGTGCCAAGGCGGAGAGGAAAGAGCTGAGCGTGTGTCTGGCCTAAACCCCGGAAAATGTGTCTCCGCGGACGTTCCATCGTGGGAGGGAGATGGAAGAGGTGGAAAGTTATCCTGAAGGCAATGGGGGGGGGTGGGAGGGGAAGGAGGGGATGGTGGGGGAAACGGTGGGGGCTGGAGTTTGGGGTGATGGGACGGGGGGGGGGGGAAGATGGGAGGAAAGGGCCATAATTTGTAACGGTGACGTCCCAAAACATTTTCTGGACCGAATTCACCAAATAATAATAGTGTGTGTTGGAGGTTGGGGGGGGGGGGAGGGGGTGGTACAGGCTGGACACCTTAGTTTAAGCTGACCCCAACCCAAAGAATGGACCTTAAACATCAATGCCTCACCACATGGACACAGACACCCAACTCTTCGGGGGCGGGGGGGAGAGAATCTCACTGAAAGATTTTCCAAAAAATAAAAAAAAGTATTAAGTTTTTTGTGGCTTAAGCGGAGTTGTTATTTCTCTCTCCCGCTCGCTCCGTCCTCTACAATGGAAAGAAACGACAGCAGGTTGGCTACCGCCTTCAACCGCAGAAAATCACACAGTCACTACGCTGGGACTTCCTGGGAAGCGCTTTGACACGAGCTCGGGAACGCGCTTAGGTGCTGCGCGAAATTGTCTGCCGCGTTTCGGGCACAAAACACGCGGTCGATTCGCTTTGTAGTATATTCTGCGCCGGGTGGAGAGAGCGATGAGCCAGTGTGTCCCACTGACACGAGTGTTACAGCTCACATAGGTCAACGGCGCCTTCTTCCCTGGTCTTTTACCAGCAGAACGGGGTGTGTAACGGTTTATTACCTACCCCTCCGACCTCCTCACTCCTCACCTCCGCTCGACTGGCACCGGCCTCCTGCTCGTCCCTCGCACCCTCTGCCCCACCATCGGAGGTCGCGCTTTCAGCCACTACGCCCCGAAACTCTGGAACGCTCTCCCCCCATCCCTCCCCCCCCACCCCTTTTTCAAACCTTCATTTACGATCGTGCTCACAGTCACTTCTCCCCCACTCTCTTTATAAGTGCAAGTTATTGTTATATCAAATGCAAGGATTATACTAATAATAATAATTATCATTATTATCATCAAATGGGAGGACTATTATTAGTATTTCCGGCTGGTTCAGGAGTTCTCTGAGATTGGGATGGTCTGTGTGGGAGTGCTGACGGCTAACACTGGGTGTCACTGTGACATGACATTAACGCCGGCTCCTTCGTTCACAGGTTTACAGGCTAAGGTTTGGGGGGATTTCAGCTATTATGAAGCGTAAGGGTGATTACCGACCGTTTTTAGTATCGGCCGCTCGCTCTTGTGTCCGGCTTCGGTTTGCCTGCGCGTGTTGGGAACGAGCAGAGAATAAACAAAAATAATAATGAACAAAAATAATAATAATTTATTACTCAATCCCCTGACTGTTTGTGGGGACGCTGCTGTGCACAACCGGCTGCCGCCCACAAAATATACAGTCAATCCACTTCACAGTATAATCCTGTGAAGCGCTTTGAGACGTCTCGAAGACGTGATAAGGCGCTGTATCAAATGCAGAGATTATTATTATTATTATAGACTTGGTTAGAGTTTAGGATCACTTAACACTCATGTGTGTGTGTGTGTAATTTCCATGTGGATGGAATGTGCCACTTAACGTCAACTCCCCAGTGAGAGACCCTGAGCCAACCGCATGCGTTTGGAGGTTACCTTTCCAATCACCTGGTGCTCCTCAACAAACAACCAGTTGGGAAACAGTCAAGGTGAAGCCTGACAGGTCAACTCATCCCATCTGCCAACACAGCCTCTGAGGCAACAGCAAGGCTAAGGGTATGTGACGCTTCCCTTATTTGCCTCCTTCAAGACCCTCCTCTTCGATCACGCCTTCGGTCAACCTCCTACCCCCTACCCTCCATCCCTCTTGATCCCAACCACCAGCTTGGGTGCAGATCCTTGATTGTCCAGCACCTTGGGACCGCCCCGATGTGAAAGCACTCTGAGACGCCGTCCGGCGTGGAGGGCGCTATATAAATCCAAGTTGTTGTTGTTGAAAGGCGCTGTACAAATATTCCTGGTGAATATTTTTACCTTCAGTTATTGACCCTTGTTACTTGGGGAGGAGGAAGCGAGGATTGAATGGGATACCTGTATGAACTCAGAAAATTTCTATATCTTGCTTTCGCTCTCTGTTCTCTCTCTCTCTCTCTCTCTCTCTCTGTCTCTCTCTCTGGACTTAAGAACAAAACTGGAATTAAATGAAAAAGAAATGAGAATTGTCGACTAAAGTCTATCCGTGTGTGTTTATGTTTCATCACCGGCTCGAGATTGGTTACCAAGACAGGTTTCTGTCTGCAACATTGATCAGCACCGTTTAGATGGACAGACACTCACTCTCTCCCTGTATCAGTTTTTGCCGTCAAGGCTGAGTTAGACTATAAAACACAACCGCCACCTAATGGCCTAGTTACTGATAGATAGATATACAATTTTGTTTTCTCGCTCCCTCTCCTCTCTCTGTCTCTCTCTCTCTCGATGGTAAGGTGAGTTCGGATGAAGAAGACCCTTTGGTCCATCTGAATAGTAATAATAATAATGTGGTCACTCGATCCTCGACTGTTTAGTGTGGGACGCTGCTGTGCTGCCGTGTTCCACCCATAAAACACAGTCAAGTCACTTTGCAATACATTCTGTGAAGCGCTTTGAGACGTCGCGACGACCTGATAAAGTGCTGTATCAAATGCAAAGATTATTACTATTATTAGAGGCCTAACGCACCGCTCTGGATAACTCGTTGCTTGAAGTGATGAGTGATCAGGAGTCTATTGTTTGAAGCCCATTTACTTCTTATTGGGAATCTAATTTGCGGTGTTTCTTAATAAGAAAAGTGGCGGTGGGGTGAGGGGGGGGGGGTCCGACACACGTGGAAACCCATCACTGTGCTTAAGAGTCTCCAAACCAAACTGAGAATCCCGGGCTTTTCCACCTACACATGGAAATTCCCGAGTTAGATTGAATGAGAAATGTGATGAATCACATGCGATGTTTCAGGAGCTGAATATTTATAAGTCCGATAAGAACTATCGCAGTGTTAGAGTAGAGTAGATCTCTGATTCAGTTCCAATTAAATATAAACAATAATCTTGGTGTTTGATCCTTGCGCCTCTAACGTCAGAACGTCTCAAATTGCGTCTCAGTAATGGCTGTCGCTCGTGGTGACTGTTTTAGCTGTAGTGGGACACGGAAAAAGATTTGCGAGCGAGGGATTTTAATTTTAGTATTTCCGCCCGCGAAATACACAGGCACTACACTTTACAGAATATCCAGTGAATCGCTTTGAGACGTGATGAGGCGCTGAATGAAATGCCAGGTTATTATTATTATTATTATTATTATCTGGGAGTGTTGCCAGCCAGGGCAGCTGTGTGGAGAACTGCAAGGCATCCGAAAGGTCGGTCGGTCCATCCGTCCGTCCGTCCGTCCGTCTGTCTGTTTGACAAGCAGGAACCGTGAAATGTCATCTGCACTGGCGTGAAACGACACGTCACTGGCATCGCCAGGTATCTGGAACAGAATCTCTCTCTCTCTCTCTGCCTGAATCCACCCGAGTTGGTATCTGCCGACTCCATCTCTCAAAATACTGTCGTTTCGAACGCTGGTTCTGCGGCTGAGGTTCCTTTTGCTGCACGTTCTCTGCTTTAGGGGCAGACACCGCCTTGTGTGAGGAGGGGGTGGTGGGGGGGGGTGGGGGGGGTTAGAGAGCCGGCTTTGGCTTAGAGTTAACATCTCGGGTGACGACTTCCCAACCAAATCGCGACTCAATCACCGTGACTTGACGACGTGACCACAAGACACTATCCCGAGATCTCTAAAACACACACACCCCCAAACACACGCACACACACGCACACACACGCACACACGCACACACACACGCAGGGCCGGGATTCATTGGAACTCTCTCTGATACACACTGACACACAATCGCTTTCCGATGAAGGAGGCCGTGTTTACAGTAAAGTGTAGTGACTGTGCGCTTTGCAGACAGAGAAGCGAAGGTTACTACACCATGAAATGTTAATTAGCAGATTATGGTCACCGGTTACTCACTCACTGATTCACACTCACACACACACTCACTCCCCCTCACACACACACACTCTCTCACTCTCATTCACTCACTCACTCTCACTCACTCACTCATTCCCACACCACACACTCACTCACACACTCACTCACTCTCTCACACTCATTCATTCTCACATTCACTCACACACACTCACTCTCACTCACTCACTCACTCACACTTTCACTCACTCACTCACTCACTCACACTCTCACTCACTCACTCACTCACTCATTCACTCACGCACTGACTCGCTCTCACTCATTCACAGTCCAAGGTTTAACCTGCAGATCAAGCTGCGAGGGTTCACCTATTGGTTGCTCGTCTCATTATATTCCTGCAGGAGTGGCTGTTCGTAGGGTTTAAAAAGCCGAGAAGAGGCGAGACACAGACAGAGAGACAGAGAGAGAGAGAGGGAGGGAGTCCAGCTTCACTGTCGAGCTTTGTGGCAGTATCACAGGGAGAAGGAACAAATTCGCAGCCACACAGTGAGTATCGATTTCATTCCGCAAATTATTTTCTCATTTATCAGCTCCCCACCTGCCCCCCCACCCCCAGGCCCCCAAATTTTGTTTGTATGTGTGTGTGCGCGTGTGTGAGAGAGAGAGAGAGAGAGAGAAAGAACGGGATTTTGCAACGAAAAGATGCTTTCATCCGGACGAACAATAGCAAAATTTCCAACGGTTGAACAGCCGAGCGGTCTGTGCGCGGTGGAGCAGAAAAAAGTTATTTTAAGTGTATTTGCACCTGTTTGACGCCTGTTTATTTTGCTCCGGGATCTTTGAGCGTTCAGTTAATAAGCTTTCCGTTCCTTGTTAATCTGGTTATTTTGTGCCCTTCACTGAACCCACAGAGTATTAATCAGCCGGGGTGAAACTGGAGCAAAAGAAAAAGCTGCAATTGTTTGATTGCTGCACTGAAACGATCATAATAATCATCGTAATAATCCTCGCACTTGATACAGCGTCTTCGAGACGTCTCAAAGCGCTTCACAGAATAGACAGCACTGTAAGGCGAATGCTTTTTTGCGGCCGGAATGATCTTGAGATGTTATCCGGACAGACAGACTCTGTGGCTAAGGAAGCGAATGATTTATTTGCATTTTAATGGGAAAATATATTTACACTGCATTTAATTACATCTATATTTACATTTGCATTGATCTAAATTATACATCAATCTATTGCATTTTGTTTTAAATGACATATGCGTATTGCCTTTGCGTATTGATATTGCCTTTATATCACATTAATATAAATGGCATATACTTTTATAACATGTTTTGCGTTATTACATACATATGATTCACACACCTGTGTAAATTTGCTTCACATGACTGTATTATTATTTATTATAAAAGATTGCGTTTTATTGCCAAATAATAAACACACACACAACCTACGCAACAACACAACGACAGATACACACACATCTGGTAACAATCCTGGGGGGGAAAGCGGCAATATCTATATGTGTGTGTGTTTGTTGTGTGTTTGTTGTGTGTTGTTGTTGGGTGTGTACTGTTCTTGATGATGGGGCTTTACTGATGGTTTGGCCTGGGATCAGCAGTTGCGGTCCAGCGATTTGTCATGGTGTGTTGTGTGCGACTGTTGGTGTTGGTGTGTGAGTGTTGGTGTGTGTGTGAGTGTTGGTGTGCGAGTGTGAGTGTTGGTGTGTGTGTGAGTGTTGGTGTGTGAGTGTGAGTGTTGGTGTTGGTGTGTGTGTGTGAGTGTTGGTGTTGATGGTAGTGTATGTGTGTGTGTGTTTGGTTGTGTGTGTGTGTGTGTGTTGATGGTAGTGTGTGTGTTGATGGTAGTGTGTGTGTGTGTTGATGGTAGTGTGTGTGTTGATGGTAGTGTGTGTGTTGATGGTAGTGTGTGTGTGTTGATGGTAGTGTGTGTGTGTGTTGATGGTAGTGTGTGTGTTGATGGTAGTGTGTGTGTGTGTTGATGGTAGTGTGTGTGTTGATGGTAGTGTGTGTGTGTTGATGGTAGTGTGTGTGTTGATGGTAGTGTGTGTGTGTGTTGGAGATTCACAGTGTGTGTGTGTGTTGCTGGTAGTGTGTGTGTTTGTGTGTTGATGGTAGTGTGTGTGTTGATGGTAGTGTGTGTGTTGATGGTAGTGTGTGTGTTGATGGTAGTGTGTGTGTTTGTGTGTTGATGGTAGTGTGTGTGTTTGTGTGTTGATGGTAGTGTGTGTGTTTGTGTGTTGATGGTAGTGTGTGTGTTTGTGTGTTGATGGTAGTGTGTGTGTTGATGGTAGTGTGTGTGTGTGTGTGTTGGAGACTCACAGTGTGTGTGTGTGTTCTGTTGCCCAGGTTGGTTGGTTGGTTGGTTGGTTGGTGTCTCTGTGAGGATGTGGCTGTTTGAGAAGCTGAGGGGGTCGGTGGAGACCAGTCTGGCGCTGCCGAGCGAGGCTGAGCCGCGGGACGGGAAGCCCCGACCCTCCCTCTACAGCAACGTACTGACCCCGGACAAGATCCCGGATTTCTTCATCCCCCCCAAACTGGCCGGGGGCTCGGGGGAGGGCGAGAATGGCGAGGGCAAGAGAAAGAAACCGGGGCCAGGGGCCTCGCCCGCCGAGCCGGCCGACGGCGGCAAGAGAACGCCGGGCGGGAAGCGCTCGGGCGAGGCCAGCGCCGACTTACTGCAGGCGGCGAGTCGGTACATCATCCAGATCGAGAGCGCGGACGACCTGGAGCCCGACGACTTGGATCTGGCCTGCCAGCCGGCCGGGGGCTCGCCCCAGCCCCACCGAGCCCTGGCGCACACCCCGTACGGCTGCTCCACCCTGAAGGAGAGCCCGCACACCCGGCGCAAGGAGTCACTGTTCCACGTGGAGCAGGGCGCCAGCCCCGGGTCCTCGCCCGGCTCCCGGCGCAAGGGCTCGGGCCATGGCAAGACCAACGGGGAAAGCCACCACCTGAACCCCCCCGAGCCCGGCCTGGGACTCTGGCCGGCCGGCACCTGCCGGTACCTCGGCGGCGGGGACAGCGACACCGGCTCCTCGGCCGAGTCCTCGCCCTTCACCTCCCCGCTGCTCTCCCGCTCGGTCTCCGGGACCTCCCTGCTCAAGATGTTCAGCCACGAGAACCTGTCCCGCCGTCTGCAGTCGCTCCATCGCAACAGCTCGCTGTCCACCGACGAGTGCAGTTCGACCGACGCCACGCCCAACGTGTCCAGGAGGGCGGGGCGATGCCTGACTCCTCCCGCCACTGGCCCCGGCTCCGCCCATGGCTCCACCCCCAGTTCCACCTCCACCGGCCCCGCCCTTGGCCCCGCCTCCGCCCCCTGCCCCCGGGCCGTGTTGCCTCTCAACCTGCCCCACTGCCGGGACCGGCTGGTCAAGGAACACACCGTGCGGTTGAGCAAAGGCGGGGCGGTCCGGCTGTCCGCGGAGTACGACTGCAGCAACGCCAGGCTCCGTGTCCGGATCATCACGGCCGAGGAACTGTACGACAAGTCCCTGGACCACAAGAGCATCAACTGCTGCGTGATCCTGTACCTGAACCCGGGCAAGACCCAGAGACAGAGGAGCACCATCATCAAGAACAGCAGGAACCCCATCTTCAACGAGGACTTTTTCTTCGACGGGATCTCGGCCGAAGACTTCAAGAGGAGCTCGCTGAAGCTGAAGGTGGTGAACAAAGCCTCCAGCCTGAAGCGAGACTCCGTGCTGGGCGAGAAGGAGCTGCGGCTCCCTTTCCTCTTACCTTTCTTCTGAGACGTGATGTCGAATGCAAAGATTATTATTATTATTTTTATTATTGTTATAACGTTGGGTTGTGCGATTCCCCCGATAGACTGGATGGCAGCTCTCTACATTTCACCTCCCAACCTCACCCACATCCCCCCCCCACCCCATACAGACGCACACACACACACTCGGCAAAACTGAGCATCAGCCGATCCTATTCTCTATCAGCAGATGTCCGACCCCCGAGGCACAGTGTCGAACGTGGTTGACTCGCTTGTAAAGCAGAGGCCTAACTCTGAGCAAACACTGCCCTGTAACCATCATTTTACCATCGTTCTTATTAAAACTTGGTTGACAACGGCTGAGCTTGAGTACAAGTGAGTCTGCGCTGAAACGGGGGGGTGGTGGCGGCGGGGGTTGGGGGGGATGGAGGAAGGGGGGAGCAAGAGAGAGAGAGAGAACGAGAGAGAGAGAGACTTCAAAGGGAAACGCATCATTTTTTTGCCTCTCTAACCATATTCACTTTGTTTCCAATCAACCTTGTTTGGTAAAGTGCCTCCGAGCCATTTATCTGACATGAAAGACGCTGTGTAAATGTAAGCCGTTTGCTGTGGCACTTCAACCCGCTATCAATTTTGCTCAGTTCCTAAGTTCCATTCACTCCGCACGTCCCCCGGGTCCCTCCGAGCGCGGCTGGGAGACAGCCCGTAATGCTCCTCACCTGCCTGTGGTGACACACAAGGAATAAGGAACGTCGCAGCGACAGCCTTCGGGCCGAGTTTGCTGCCGTCACACCAAACAGTGTTGAATATTGAAGGTAAGATCTCGCAGGACAAAGAAAGCCCTTTGACCCTTTTTGTTTGATTTTCCCTTTGAACTCCCGCCATTCGCGCCCGCACTCTGTCTTCTCCTGGCAATTCCAGGGCTTCCCTTCGCTTCGCTTCGCTTCGCGCCCTCCCCCAACCCCCACCCCCAAAACATACGGTCAATTCACTTTACTGTCTATTCTGCGAAGCGCTTTGAGGCGTCTCGAAGACGTGCTAAGGCGCTGTATCAAATACAAGGATTATTATTATTATATAACAATATAAAAATCTGCTTCTCATATCTCTAACATCAATACGTCTCACGGAATACACTGTAAAGCGTAGTGACTGTATATTTTGCCGGCGAAATGTGGCAGCCAATTGTGCACAGCAGCGTCTCACACAAACAGTCGTGGATTGAGTGACTAAATTATTATTATTATTATTATTATTTTTCTTTTCGAAGGGATTATTACCCCCCCGGAAAAGCGATCAGCAGGTCCTGTGAAACTCTTTGAGACGTCGCAACGATGTGATGAGGCACTGTATCGAATGCAAAGATTATTATTATTCATATTATTTCCAAGGAGAGTCCAAGGTTGATTTCAAACCCGATTGAAATGTCCATTTATCCTGCTCAGGGCTTGAGGTGTGTATACATTGGAGAGGTAGCACCCCCACCCACACACCCCCCCCACCCACACACACCCCCACCCACACACACCCCCACCCACACACACCCCAATCGCAGCCCAGTGGGACATTAGATTGAAAAGGCAGCACATTAAAACCCAGCCCTAGAATTGGCAGCAAAATACTTGTGTTCCTTGAGTAAAAATTAATTTATATTCAGTGCACGTCTGTGTGTGTGTGTGTGCGCGCGTGTGAGTGTTGGGAGGGAGATAGAGCGAGAGAGAGAGCGAGGGAGGGAGGGAGGGCGAGAGGAACATCAGTCAGTCGGAAGCTACTGTCATTTATAAGGCAACCTCTCCAAATTCCTTTGACCCTCCGCACGATACTGGGAGAGAAAAAAAAGGCTGACGGCAGATTCTCTGTGTCTCGGAGACACGTCCGGTTTACCAAAGTTGCGGAATTTTAGGGCAGAATTCACCAAAGGCTGTTTGTTTTCTTCTTCTTGTGCATTTGGCCGGATCCGCTTCTGAATTATAATTACAATTTATATCAAGACTTTCACGGGAGCAATTAAACGGCGCTAACAGTTTTAAAATTATTTTTCAACTCTTGCGTTTGTTTTATGTCTTATTTCTTTTCTGTTTCTTATCCCTCCCTCCCTCCCTCCTTCCCTCCCTCCCTCCCTCCCTCTCACCTCCTCCTCTCCTCCTCCCCCCCCCCTATTTAACCTTAAATCTCACCTCAAAAACCTTCCTCTTCAACCGCACCTACAGTCACCCCATCCCCTTCCCTTTGAGTCCAAACACCACCACTGTGCAGTGCTCTGAGGCGCTATCCTGCGTGAAGTGCGCTGTGTGAATACAAGTTCGCCCACAAAACACACAGTCACTTTACACTTTACAGTGTATCCTGTGAAGCGCTTTGAGACGCCTCGACGACGTGATGAGGCACTGTATCAAATGTGAGGATTATTATTATTAATAACTTGTTGTTGCTGTGTTTATATATATATGACTGTAATGTGATGTAATTACCACGTGGCTTGACATGGGTTATTTTGACAGTGATTGACATGTATTCATCTGGTGAGGGAACTGGTCTGTTGATTAAACTCGCACATTAAAGTCATAGATTAGAATGAACATCTCCTCTGGATCGTGGCTGTTCTTCGTGTTTTCACAGCATTTACACAGTGGGAGGAGAGAGGGAGAGAGGGATGTTTTTGTGTGGGTGGGTGGGAGGTCAATTGGGTGTCTGACACACGCGGAAACCCATCACTGTTGCTTACAAGCCTCCAAACCCAATCCAGGCCTCCCACCTACACATGGAAATCACAGAGACAGATTGTTGGAATGGAAAGCGCTCTCTCTCTCCCCCCTCTCTCCCTCCCAGGAGGGACACATGCTTACCTAATTCCGGAAAGAATTAGGCGCAGGTTGGCAAGAGGGAGGGAACGGGTTAATTGCCATTGAGATAACGAGGACTGGAGATTAACTGATCTTAGCGGTGATCTTACTGGGCAGACAATGTGTATTAATGAGCTTCCCGAAGTACGAAAATGTTTGCTCACCATCTGGAGAAGAGAGGAAGGTTTGGGAGAGGAGGGAGTGGTGGGGGGCGTCAGGGGAGGAGGAGGAGGAGGAGGAGGAGGGCATGGGGGCGAGGAGTGGGGGTGTGTGTGTGTAGGAAAGAGATGGGAGATCTGAAAAAATGTTTTTCAAATGAAAAGATTTCAAAAATCCAACTGTACCTTAAATTTCAACTGTACCTTAGGATTTGGTCCTAAGGCTTATACCATGGGGAATGTTTTTCACCATGATTTGGGCGGGGGGTTGTAGGGGGGGCAGGTGGAGAGGAGGGGAGGGGTTTGGGGCTTCAGGACGTTGCAATAACAACTTGCAGTTATATAGTACCCCTCACGCTGAGCTGCACTCGATTGGCAGATCGTTTTCCGGAGGTAAGACTCCCTTCAAAATAAATAAAGAAAGAAATAATAAAAATTTGGTCACTCGATCCGTGACTGTTTGTGGGGACGCTGCTGCGCGCAATTAAATTGGCCGCCGCGTTTCGTCCACGAAACACACAGTCACTCCACTCTACAGCATATTCTGTGAAGCGCTTTGAGTCGTCTGGATGACGTGATAAGATGCCGTGTCAAATGGGAGGTTTATTATTGTAACAGGTTCAGTAAGAAGCTTAAGGGAGTAGGAAAGTCTACGCTGCCAGGCTGTTGTAACTGCTCGGGGAGGTGAGTTTCACAGGTTTCTGAGAAAAAGGGAGAACGTTTTTCTCTCTTTGTCACACCTACAGGGAACCTGCAGGAACCCAGCGCGCAGTGGCTATATTAAAGCTGACTATATTCATCCTCTTAACAACCGCATTCCACAAATGACTCCTCAGCAACGCCAAAGGCAGATAATTGTCTACGACTCTAAACAAGCTCTGCGAGCTTGGAGTCCCGTTTGATGGATCACTGGTAGAGAGAATGTTGCTCTCAGGGTAACCGCCGCACGCATTCCCCTGGAAAAGCCATCCGCCATTCGACTAACAAGCGGGTTCCTGCTTACTGCTGGGCAAACAGAGGCGTGCGTGTGGGTGGAGTGAGGAAACTTGCCTAAGGTTTCGCCCCTCGTGGGAAAAGAACCCGGGTCCTCTCGCCTGCGAAGCGAGTGCTCTAGCCACTCGCTAATCAGACCCACAGCTAAACGTGAAAAAAACCAATTGCACGGTTGCAAACTCCACGCAGGGAATGCGAGACAGAGGAACGAAGCTGGGCAGCAAAGCGTTAATGCACAAATTGAGTGGGAGAAACCGAGTTAACTTTATGCAAAGTAAATGTGAATCAAATACTACAAGGTTGATGAAAATTGACTTTAGGCTGAATTAACACAGCAGCAATATTGTTTTCAAAGGAAATGCACAACAGCTTTTAATATATTTAATTAAGCTTTTGAATCTGTGACGCAAAGTGTGGTCTGTTAGCTTTTATAGTGGTTTTAGCTAAATCCCTCATCTCTTAAATGAGTCCCAGCGTCCTGGCTTTGCTTCGCAGCCCTCCGTCAGTCACTAATTACTTTTGGGGCAAAGAAATACTTCCTGGTGTCTGTCCTGAAATTGTCCTGTTGTCAGATTGACATGGAATTGCATAGACTGTACAACATCACTGTACAAACACTCACTCACTCACTCACTCATTTATTCGCTCACTCACTCACTCGCTCGCTCGCTCACTCACTCACTCACTCACTCGCTCACTCGCTCGCTCAATGCCTCATTCAAGCTTTCTCTCAAAGACCTTCTGCTTTGACCACCCTGCTTTCAGTCATCTTTACCCTTCCCCCATCCCCCCACAGCTCAACTCCCACCCCCCCGCCCCGCTTCCCCACCCCCCCCCCCACCCAGCTCGCGTGCCAACCTGAACATGGGATGTGAATGTAAACGCAAATTTGCGTCGTGGGATTCACTCATAAACCAGAGGAGGATTGTCAATCGAAGTGAGAGCTATTCCCTCTGTTGTAAACGACTGTGGCTGTGGGCAGAAGGTTGTCTGTTACTCACTGACTGAAAGCTTTGGTGTTTCGAAACCTTTGTTGAGTTCCTCCAGTCCCAGATCCCTTCCTAACCTTTACATTGCGCTGAGAGCATTGCTGTCTGTTCTGCCGGATCTCAAACAAAGTGGTGAAAGCCCTTTGCTCGTCCTGGCAATCCACAGCTGAATTAGGATT